ACACACACACACACACACACACACACACACACACACACACACACACAGCATTCAACATTGTCGTCGTCGTCGTCTTCGTCGTTCAAATCGCATTTCGCTCTCTCTGCGCGCGTTTGCATCAAGATCACAGTGGCGGTGATGTTTTGCCAATGCCTATTCGAATGATAATACTGTGTGACAATGCGAAAAGGAAACGGATTGGCGATTTGAATCGGCCGTATATGTCACAAATTTTTCGTCTTCTTCGATCTCTTCGTCTTGAAAATGTTGTTGGTGAGCATGCGCCCGCGCGCGCACCAAATCGCATCCATACAAAATCGATCCACAATTCCATCGTCAATACTGTCTGCTGTCATTATAAATTTTCCATTTATTTATTACACATAACATGAATGTGAATTAATAACACGGAGAATATGTACTGATGCTGCTGCGGCTGCTGCTGCTTGCAGTGTTTGTGAACATTGATTCTTTCGATGCTTACGCTTTGGCGTTCTTCCTCCCTAATCCCCTCCACCCGAGAATATCTGTGCGCATTGTCACATCCTATCTGATTTATTTTTTTTTGCTGTCCCATTTCTTGCTCACTTTTGTTGTTGTTGTTGCTTGTTTCATTCAACCAAATCAATTTCCATATAACAAAACACATGGCGTATTTCATTGCGTTCACAACAATATTCACTCCGGGTGCTGTGACACGGAGAGAGAGAGAGAGAGAGAGAGAGAGAGAAAGAGAGACAGACAGAGCAGAAAAGAACACGCCATAATTATTTATATAGAGGATTTATGCTGAAAGGACACTGGCTGCAATCAAATCAAGCAGTCGCGGAAAATTTATGAAGAATTCAAGCGAGAGGGAAATTCAACGGCACATAATCTCATCTGAGACGAAGCTGCACTCACTGGAAATTGCTGATTCGTCTTTGGATCGACGATCATAGGGCTTTTATTGACCATGTATTGCACACTCGATGAAATGACAGATACAAAGACAGAGACAGAGATAGCGATAGCAACAATACAGAGGCTTTACGCAAATCGAAGCGAATTAAACATGTGCTGTGCGCGCACTCGAATACAATTGAATATCGAGTCCCGTTCTTTGTTTTTTTCTCTCTCTTGGTTGGATTCTTTGAAGTCTTTTTTTCTTTTTTGCTTCGCATATATGATGTCAATCGTGTTATTTCACATTTTAACTGCCTCTAGTGAGGTAATTGTGATTGTTTTTGGTCTTGGGTTATGCTTCTTGCCCCGTTCATTATTTCGTTCTTTTTTTTTCATTTTCGGATGTACAATGCAACTGCCAATTTTGAAATAGAGAACTGCACTGCCGTTCGCTCTCTTGGTCTCGCTGTGTGTGTGTGTGACGCATGGTGATTGTTGTGTGAACATAAAACTTGCTGGTGACAGCTCAAGAGAAATGCCGTGACAATTGACAGTAGCTCGTTCGCGTAGTCGCGCGCGCTCATCGATTTTTTCGCTGGAAATGCTATAACGAAGCCATATAAATATACGTCTTGTTGGGTTTGTAAAATGCAGAGCAAGAAACGATGGCAAACAAACAATCGATGCAATGGAAAACATTCCTGGCAAGCGCACAATTGTTTTCCATCAGCAAGCCAGATCGATCGATCGATCGATTTCAAGAAAAACGCATTTTCAAAACCGAAACCATTTGTTTTTACTTTTATAAAATGAGATTCATTTCGAAGTTTTCTCTTTCGATCATGTCATTCGCAAATAGAACGTTTTGTGCATTCTAATCGAAATGGAAATGGAAAATGAACATTGAGGCTGGTTCAATCGAGACAATCGTACAAAATGCACTCACCGCGCGCACAGTCCACGATGTCAATTGCACGGGCATGATGACGATGTACACAGATTTAATTTTGCACACCGCGCGCACGCGCATGTTCAACCGATTTTATGATTTCGACTTCGATCTATTGATTGGACGACAATGTTTTTGATGAGCTTCACTTGAAAACATTATGTCGACGATGTGTCGAATCACCATCATGTTTAACTCCACAATCGCTTCATCATTTTGATCGATTGATTGATTGAGAGAGTTGCAACATTGTCGCTCGCGCGCGCGATAACCTACGTTGAGCACATCATTTGCGTATGCATGTGTCATGTCAAATTTGGTAAGCAGATCAATTGCAATCAACGTCATTGTATTTGACGTTGGGACGTCACCGATACAAATGCATTCACCACTTACAATCCAACTGGCAGCCGATTACGACTCGAGCTCATGTCGATTCGCAGTCAATTTCGCCTTGTAAACTCTTTCGATTTGGGATAATTGTTCGAAGTTTTTGCTTGATGCCAAACGATTCCAGCAATTATTGAGGTATTTTCACATGCATTCCATTGGTTTTCATAATTTAAACAATCACTTTCATTTGAATTGATGCACAATCGCCGCTGATTATCGAAGAAAAAAAAAATGAATTTTTCAGTTAATTACCTTCCCTTCGATCGGATTAATCAACGATCATTGAAGCCGTTTAATAAATTTCATTCAAATACCTCACATTTTTCTTAACTGCAATAAATCACCGCTCGTTTTTTCATGATAATGACGATTTTAAAGCTAGTTTTTTTGTTGCAGGAGATATAAAAAAAATCAGCAGCACATAAATCAAATTCATTTTTGTAAATTGAGTTTCTAATTAAACCTCATTGCAAATTGTCTTCGCATCGTGGCGTTTTTTTTCTCTTTCATTTCACGCACCTTCGAATGGCATACGTTCGGATTGGTTTTTTTTCTGTTTATTTGTTATATCATTTGAAATGGAATTACACGGTTGCCGCAGTGCAGCTGTTTGTTTACGTCAAAAAACCATATGAATCTTACGGACTGTGGTTGTTGCATAGCGCAGACCGAACGATCGATTCAATTGAAACTAAATAAACGTTTAGTGACTGCGAATAGCGACGACGACAGCAGCAAAAACAACAACAACAACACACGCCAATTTTCTACTTCTTGAGTATCTCTCTCTTCCTCTCGATCACTCTTTTTTTTTACTTCGGCAACCCTTCTCTCGCTCGCTCGCTCACTCGCATTCTTTTTTATTGACAATATATTTAATTGAATCGATGAGAAAAGTTAACAAGATCAGTAAACACAATCCAGTGCGCGCGAGCGTATACAATCAATTGTGTCAGTAACGTGGAAATGCACAGCCAGACTATTAAATTGGTTTCATATTGATTGTTGCGTTTAACTCACTACCAAGCGCTCCTCTCGCTTGTCATTCCAATAAAACAGCGTTGAAATGTTTGACACGAAAAACGCAATTTTCTTATTAATAACAATGGTAATGTCGGCAATAGTTCACCATTGAACACACCGAGCAGTATCTGTCAACCGTTTCTTGTTCATCGAAGTCTTGGTCGAAGTCTGAATTCCCTTGGTATTTATCGCATACAAGAATGGATGCTGTGAAATGTTCCAAGTGTGAAAAATGGGTTTTCTGATGACGGCCGAGAACCTCCAGTGGCCAGCATTTTTCACGCACTGAACACTTCATTTGAAAGTCTAATTTTCGTTGAAAAATAAAAGATGACAACCAAACTGGTGGTCGGCCAACGGCATAAAAACCGATTAGAAAACACGGCTGCAAGATAAAACAGTTAGTCACCCGATCGAATTGGTATATCTCACCTTTGAGTAGAATTTTTCTCATGCTTCGCACAATGGACGAACAATTCCAACGATGATGCTTGAATTGATGTTCACACTCTTTAAATCCCATGCTGATTCCACGGCCGATCTCGCGCATCATCGACGTTTCATTCTTACACATTTCATAATATTTGCCACGTAATCGCCGCGACTTCTTGCATACTAAATACGGATCTAACAGGAGATTACTGCCCTCGGCCCTGGAAATGGAGAAGATACGTTTGAATTTTACGTAATTTATTTGATTTCTTAAGGTGGATTTTATATTTCGATCTAAATTTCGACAGATTCGGATCAAACTCCGTGAAAATTTCGGATCAATCACTGCCAAATGGATGAAATTGTTGGTATTCATTCAGTCAGCCGATGCATTTTATTGGTCGTTGTTCAGTTTTTCTCCTTCAGCCTTCAGCCTTTATATATTTATTTTCCTACAATCACCGAATTCCGGTGCAGTTGCAGTAGCAAAATCGTTTCAATTTACGACTTTTCAACTCCATTCCAACTAATAAATATTTTGAATGGTCGAACAGATCGATAAAATATTCTGTAATAACTCTTGCATCCAGTTGTTGAAAGAAAAATAAACTGAAAAATCACAAACGAAACATGTTCATGTTTACAACCTAAAATAGATTTTGACCTGGCAGAAAGGACCATATTTGATGTTTGATAAGCGATTAAAGTGCCATAAAAATGCACCAAACACCAATAAAACAACCGAAAAATTGGAACTGAACCGAATTAAGTGAGAAAAACTAGGCAGTTCGTCGAAATCAAGGTGAATTTTTTTACAGCTTCCAATGAAATTGAGCCAATTCATATAGAAACATGTTCGAAAAACGAAAACAAATACACGAAGCAATAACAATCACCCTCCGAAAATAAGTGTAAGAGCGAAGTGGGAAAAGGTAAAATATACGTATCAAAGACGATGAAAACATGAATTTTGGTGAATGAACGCGTAAGTCATAAAAATGTTGTAAGAAAAACAAAACAAAAACATCAAAATACAAGGAAATAAAACCGAAGCTAGAACGATATTTGTTAGGCGTGTTGCTTTGAATACAGAAACAAAAACTCTAAGGTGATCGGTTTATTTTGCGGAAGTTAGATGCTACAATATTTTTGCTTGAAATCAAAAATGATTGTTTTTACAGTTTCTTTTGTTTTGTTCGAAAATATTTTTTTCTCCTAAATTGTTTGATTTTTTGCTTTTGTTTCGATGGCCGAATGGGTGTCGGTGAAATTCTTGCACCTTAAGTGCTAAACAAAGAGAAACAAGTCGAACATGTGACTGCATCAATATTTATTCAACACTGATAAGCGATAGAGTGTGTTATTATTTCGTTGGTTTATCGAATATTCTTGGAATTGTCTATTTCGGAGCGCCTCTTAAACTGTTTTTTCTTGATCTTTTTCTTGTTTGGATAGTAAAGTCCCTGAAAGATCATAAACAATGCACATAAACACATTTTTCTTCTTTCCACTCGAATCCTCTTTGTTGGCAGAGCTCAACCTAACTTTTAACGAACGTATGATTCGTCGAGAAGGAATGTGTCACTTTTTTAAACGCATATAAAAAACATTTCAATGTATTGCTGAAAATAAGGCAAGGGCAAAAAAAAATCGGCAACAAAAATTGAGTCTCGAGTCTGAATGGAACAACAAAAAATAAATATATAAAATTGAATTATATTTTCACAAATCGCGAGCAGATTGGTGAAGCGAGCGACAGGCGAAAAAAAGACATGCGAAGAAAAACATGAATAAAAATCGAATAAAATAATGGAATATATTACCATCTGAAACCAGTAATCGGCATAGCAAACACCAAAACGGCCGCAATCGATACGAGATGCATAGCTAATGCGGCATGTGCATCTAAGCGGTATGTATGTGAATGACTCGGGCTTGCTTGCCCTGGCTCTTTTCGCCTCTTTTTTTCTCTTCTTTTAATTCGCTTGTTGTTTTCACGACCACAGCAACATCCAAGTAATCAGCATCTAAGTTGAAACAAAGAAACAAACAGAAGAAAAGCAGTGAAAAAAACACTGCCTACTACCAAAAGCTGCTGATGATATTGGGTTCACTCATACGAACGTACCAGTAGCATCAATCCAAACCGAAGAAATAATTCTGATGGATTGAATCTATAGCACAATGCCGTTGATTTCGACTTTTTTTTTCTGCTGCACTCTCGCTCGCTCTCGCTCTTTTTTCCCGTCTATCTCCTTTTTGTCAACACACTTTTTGTCTCAATAAGTTGCGAAGCGACAAAAAATTCCAACGAAAAAATCACAAAAATGTCACACAACACAGCCGTTTTTCGGAGCGTTTCCAATGCGAAATGCATTTTTTGTGCGCTTAGGTGCTCATGAATTTATTTATTTAAGCTTTGTGGTCCGTGATTTTCTATCATTAATTCACTTTCGTGTCTTTTTTTCTGCTTGCTTTGTCATAACACACACTGGATATTTAAACGGATCATTCCAAACCAACACAAGAAAAAAAAACTGATCTCACAAATTCTTTAGTTTCATGGCAACAACAAGCAAAAAAAAGAAAGAATCAAGGGCAATATTTTGTGTCCGAAAATCGTCACATTAATTGAATCACCATTCACTCAACGCAGAAACAAAAATCAAACGAATCAAAAAATCTGAACCCGTATTTCAGTCAATTATCCACAAAATATTATTGCGATTTTCACGTTTTTTGCTCTGCATCACACCACAAAAAATGATAATTGTGTTCTGTTGTTGTTTTAATATACTGTGTCCAGCAGAAGAAGAAGAAAAAAACACACAGCCAAAACCACAACAAAAAATTCTTTTCTGGATTTGCACGAGAAAAATCAAACCGTTCGGCAGCCGCGTACGATGCGTTTACATCTTTTTTTGATGGTAAAAACTGATCAACTGACGACTGAAAAAAGCGATATGCTGATGCCGGGCAAAACGAATACGCGCAGCGACGACGGCCAAATCGAAACAATCCATAAACATTTTCGTCGTGGTTCGTTGGTTGGTTTTTTTTGCTCTCTGCTGTATTTCGGTTGTGTTTTTTGTTTCTTTTCTCCGTCGCTCTCTCTCTCTCTGGTTTGGAGGGCGCAAAAAAGCAGCAGCAGCCTCAGCAGCACAGCACCGAATACAACAAAGACAGAGAAGAATCCTCTTTAACTTGTCGCTTTGGTCACTCAAAACCGATTAAAAATTCTCTCGGACTCGGGATTTGTACGCTTTGTCTAACTTGAAAATAAATAACGCGGGTGCGCGTTCACACACCGAAATATACAAACACCCGCACTCACTATCGAATACATCGAGACACAAAATGCATCAGCAGCGGAATGCACATTTCTCACTGGCTTTTCTCTCTTTCACTCGTAAAAAGTCGTAAGGATTCCACGATAAGAACAGATAATGCTTTTGTGAGCCACAAAAATTGATGCTCTTTTTGTTTCTTTTGTTCTAGCTCTGACTCACACTCACTATTTACCGTGACATATGCACGTACGCATCTCTTGCCGGTATGGTGTTGTGCGCACAGCCATAAAATCCCCGACAAAATTATTATGAAGCAATATCAATTCAAGTTTTTGTACTTTAAATTCTCTCGTTTATTCGCCCCGCGCTCGCGATCGCACACACAACGCTTTTATCACGATCATTTTACGGTGTACATTAAGACGCAAAGAAATTACTATTGCAAATAAAAGCAATTAAAAAAAATATATTTAAGAACTATACACACAATCAATAAACGGGTTTATTGTTTGAGTATGAAAATTGCATGGCTTAGTTTATGCCTGTTGTTGTGGTCGTTTTTTCTTCGCCTGGTCGAAATATACTCTGTGTGCGCACGGCAAGTGTTCGAAGCTGCTGCTGTGACGCACTGATAAGATGCGAACGCGCACGCTAACCGCCAACAATTCACAAACTCCGAAAAGAGTTATCTCACATGAATACCCGATGATATACAGACACACATACGCACAACGAATCGACCGTTTGATTGTATTGGAGCGTTGAACGCAAACCATCGCGGTATTTTCAGCTCTTGCCTTTGGTTAAGCTACAGCGCTTTCCAAACAATGTCTGTGCTGCACGGTTTGTACTTTTAATGCGGCGGTTAGGCCCGATTAAATCCCAAACAAAATAATTATCAAATGTGATCACTTTGACCGACAATTTAAATTAATCGCTGCTTAAATACGACTTGATTTTAATTTTCTAGGAGAAACCAAGAGTTCTTATTAATCTTTATTCTCTTAAGAGAATATTTAAGAAAAAATACCGGAGAAATATTGGAAAAACAGTAAAAAAAATTTACCTTTGTAATTGTTGCGGCAATAAACAAATGATTTCGATTTTTAGCCCATAAATTCGACCATACACACGCGTACGGTCATATTTCGACGCGTCTAAATAATATTTCCAACTGAAAAAATATTTCCGTCTGGTGTAGTGAGCTTCGGGCCGAATGCAAAATGAAAAATAGTTTTTGTGTTATGTCAACATAGAATTTTAAGACTATTTGTTTCCATTAAATGCATATTTTGTTTACATGTGTGTACACTTGTACACTCCTTAAATACCGAGAGGCTCAGAGCGATGATAAGAAACAGTCGAGAAATGATAAGACACTTTGTGAACGTAAAAGAGCAATAAAAAAAACGTCATGTATTTATTTAGAAGAACAAAAGAGAAGAGAAGAACGAGAGAGAGAGAGAGAGAGAGAGAGAGAGAGAGAGAGAGAGAAGAGAAAGACAATAATAATGAATATGGAAAAGGTTAGATAACAAATATATTCGCTTGACTTGCTGTACAGCACCTAAGACCACATTATCCAAACCAAATAGAATGTTGGAAAGTTTAGAATGTTTTTTGTTTGTCTCTGTCGATCGATTAACTATTATGTCTTTGTTTATTTTATGTTATTTTTATTTATCCAATGTAGACAAAAGTCAATTAGTCGAAATGTTGGGACAATTATCAGGAAGAACGTTCATTGGTAAAATGAGTATTTAAAGCGAAAGTGGATGTTGAGAGTCACAATTCACGTGTTAAGTGTTATACAACCATGCGACTAATTGAGAGAATTCAATTCAATTCAATTATGGAATCGGGTTTGGAATCAGAGAGAGAGAGAGAGAGAGTGCGATAGATACGAGCATCATTTAAGTGGTGAGTGATCGAGACTAGACGTCTCCAAATCATATGTGTGTGGTGTTCCTTTAAAAATTTATTATACAAACCTATTTAAATGTCAAACACCAAAAACCAATACCCTCCGGTTTCGTCATCCGCTTTTGTTTTTACCTTCGATTCATAAAAAAACATCCGATTTTTTTCGAATGTAGTTTTATTGCCAATCGCTTCGGAACAATGTGTCATCAACGCGATTTTATTGTTGTTATTGTTTCAGAATTTATGGAAATTAATGCGAAATGTCGTAAAAAGCGATAAATGTATTTAATGATTCCTATTCAATCGGCTGGAACTGAACCCTAAAAGTGATAACAAATTCGAAAATTTGTGTCTAACACGAATGGCGCGTTTACCTGCCAACACAAATCGATTATTGTATCTGAATTCGGTGACCTGTCAATTCCTGTTGCTTCGAATCGGTCTCAAACACAATTTTTCATTAATAAAAACATATAATTTTGTTCTTTATTTTATTTCGAATGGTCGAATTTTATTGTGATTTCTCTTCTTTATACGAAGCTACCATCTAATTAAATATTGACGTTTTAAAAAATTAAAAATGAGCCAAAATAGCGGAGCGAGAACACACAGAAGAGCGCGCGAGAGTCGGGTGTTTGTGTAACAACAACCGTAAATTCTAATAGCAGCAGGAATGTGAAAAGAGCCATCAACTGGTAATCATTAAGAAATTATAAAAAAAAATGGGCAGAAGAAACACAAACACTAGTCAAAAACGAAACGAATTCAATGCAATCAGATAAAGCGATTCTTCGGCTTTAGACTTGATCTCAACCTGTGCGAACACATAAAATTTTTCACATACACATACTCGCTCATCCATCGAGATTTGGACTAATTCATAAGTTTGGCCATTAAACAGCAAAGAATGTTTGCGAGAGTGAAATGAACCCGACGAGGGAGAGAGAGAGCCAAAAGAATCTGCTTCAGAAATGTTCTTGCAAAATGTGATGAGATAAGAAGCTAAAAACAAAAGCCAACCAAACGGAATTCACTGAAAAATATGAAGAAAAGTAGCGAGACCGCGGCGAAGAAGAGGCACACACACACACAAAAAATAGTTTATGTGAATGTTCATTTGAAAGCAGTTAATGAGAATGCATTAATTTGGTCGTTTGCCGTGTGTGTGTTTTTTTTTTCGTTCTCAGCTCAGCTTAACAGTTTCGTGGTGGGCGACCTGTGCGGATTCTTTACATCTTGATAAAGCGAACGTAACAGCGAAAAAAATTAAAACCCATCGAAATGACAGCAGCAGAAAAGCAATAACAAAAAATCACTCACACACACACATACACAGCCGATTCGTGGCATCAACGACATTAATTCGCAAACTTTTTTCTCGTCTACATCTGCTGCTGCTGAAAGCATTAAAAATGTGCTGAACGAAATGAAAGAATGTGACCAAAACCGCCTTAACACCGATCGATTTCTTTATTCAATTCGAAAATTGTTTCACTCTCTCTCTCTCTCTCTATCCGTTTCACGGCCAACGGCCAACCAAATGCTAATAACAACGTGTTTTTCCAGCCGCTGCCAGCAGCATAATGTGTGTGTCTGTTTCAGTCCATTTTTATTTCTTGTCGCACTATGAATTTTACGAGCGGTTCGGGTTAAGTGCTACCTAACAAATTTGGATAATAGTTTGACACATACATTCGTATTTATGGGTTAATTAAATTAGACGGTTTCATTTTGAGCTTCTTTTTTTTGCTTTTTTATGATGTTGATACCATCCAGTTTCTTATGGCAATAAGAAATGAAGCGGTTTTTGTGAATCAACGGAAGAACATCAATGTGGGATTATTGATTGTCAGTTTATTTTCAAGTGCTACTTCGTATGGGCTGCAAATGGCTACTGACCAAGTAGCAGTCTGAGAGTACTTCTCATGACCAAGGAATTCTGCGAACCGATTATTTTCATCAAAAGGTCATTCATTTGTGGAAAACACAACATTTGATTCATTCACCAACTCACTACCCGTCTTAATCTATGCCGAACAAAGGCAAAAAGTGCTCAATAGCCAAGCAGTCAATACACGGTGCCTTCAATAGTCAAACAGTTTCCCAAGAAGGGAAATATCAATGAAAAACAAGCAAAAACACCGAAAGTACACCAACTACCGGCTTGGTGGTGGTGCTACATGAAGGTGAGAACAACTCATCGCTCTCTTAATTGACCGACAATGGCAATTAATCAATACGAGATCAAAAGATATCGGCCTCTTACCTCATACAGTCGTCATTCAATTTGTACACACAATTCCAATCGAACTGTGTGTTCTTTCCTTATTCTTCTCGATCGTCTATTTGGCCGGCTCTCTATCGCCTACCAGATTTCTTTTTTCCATCTGAATAGACACGATGAACATGATTGTGCCCCGAAAAGACTTGATTCCACAACGATGACGACGAACGACACAGGAAACTTTTTACAGAGAAGTGAAAAACACATTCAAAAGAAAGGAATGAATAAGAAAACAATTGAGTTCGTGTTTGCTCCAGAAGGAGAGAAAGACTGTGGACCTCCATGGATGCCAAATTGCCAATTGTCCAATAGAAAGGCTTTTCAAACAGTTTTTTTTTCTTCATTTCTTGTCTTGTCTTGCCTGTGTGAAGCATTTTTTTTTTAAATGCAATCCAGTTGCCGATTTTGTGGTATATTAAACTGAACATTCGCTCATTAACACCTGCTGAGCTACATTATTATTTACGAATGTTCCTCGAATGTTGCGCCTAGCATACACGTAAGCAATGCTTCACTGAATTGAACACACACACACATAAAAAGGAATGGACAAGAAAAAATCACAACAATACGATGTACAAAGTCAAAAGATATGATGGCATGTGGAGCTGATGAAAAATGAGAACGAACACACGAACTTCTGTGAACATTATTGTTTTGGTTATTTAGAACGAATGAAATTAGCAAGTTCTTCTTTTCGGGCTTTTGTGTAATTTTCGTTCGTTACTCCGATTTGAATAGATTTTGCATGCTCAAAACAAATTATCATTCGGATGTTCAATTCAACATTGTGAAGCGTTCAATGGACAACACATTCAAACATGTAAATGATTAGAGAGAGAAATATTGGAAAACACGTCGAAATAAAGGAAGAAGCCAACAACAAAGAACATAAAAATTGGAAAAGATGACGAAAACATAAAAAAGATGATGACAAAATGAGAGAAAAAAACAAATAATTTGTTTCAAACAGAAAAAAATGAATAAACTTGACTCACAACCAGATGCTTCGCTTCGTCGCCTCTATGAAACGATTTCTCGGTAAATTTTATTTCGTATCCATTGTGAAAAGTCAATTTTAATAAACTGCACATTTGCGTACAAATTATAGGCTATTGAAAATGTTCAAGTGGAAATTATTAGCATTTATTTAGAAATAAATTTCGTAGTGTATAATTTGAGTGAGCTGTAGACTAGAAATGGATTATCATAATCACACAATAAAAATGTTTCAATGGATCCCGGTGATTCATATCGCTCTCGGTCTCTATCTCTCTCTCAGTCTCTCTATCTATCTCATTTCGTCTATTTTCGGTTCTTTTGCTCGCTCTGGCGCTTAGTACCGACTCTGGTTTGTCTGAAATGATTAAATCTCGTGAATTGATTCAAACTGAATCCAACTGTGTTTGATTGAACCACTGCCACTTTTGTTCGTTTTGGATTCAGGTCCAAGAGTGTTAGACCTCACACGAAAAAAAAATTATATACATGCATATATATATTCAGATTTCGCGCTGTTTTTTTAACGCTGTACCAAAGCACGACCACGAATATATCAGTCGCGTCACGATGATCATCATCACACAAGAGGATATTTATAATATGGCCATTGCACGAATGGATCGAACGAAACTAAAAATAAACTTGCTGCGATTTTGTAATAAAAAAAAGAGAATATTGAGAGGTTTGAATGGGCCTACGAAATGGAAAAAATTTGGAATTTTCATCATGATTGAGTAGTGAATGAATTCCACAAATTCGAAAACAGCGATCTAAGATAGGCATCTCATCGATATTTTATGATCATTGGGCGCTCGTTGAGTTCCCAAGAAAATTTCCACTGTGCACAATCATAGTGTGTAAATATTTGCATGAGACACATCATCAACCGATGCTACGGTGAATCGGGATTCATCTTTTTAAGTGTATATAATTATAATAACACCACCATGAGTTGGGTTTCCGTCTACTGATGTCTATCGAATGTATGCTATATCGCAGATTATCTATTTACGGAGATTGCTTAAATTGACCGTAACTCCTGCAACTGTTTCGTTTTCACCGAAATCGGTTCGGCCAGCGCATTTGTGCTGCTCCGTTCACAATCGAAATGAGTCATCGGGCTTTTGTTTTCACACGAAATGGCCATTTTGTGCAAATTCATTCTTTAGTTGTGTGTCTCTCACAGAGACCCATCTCTAATCGAATTGACACAAATTAACACACACCAAACATAAAAGAAATATGAAAGAATGAATGATCTCACATTCGACTCTTCCTTTACCTCATTTAACACATTAAATTCTGAAAAAAAAAATTCATGATCCGATTTATTCTCGAGCGATTTATCTAGCTAAGTGCTTTTGCACCATGAACCGCAATTTTTTTTTTTTCGTTTGGGTCAGATATAAAAATCCATAATTTTTGTATTTTATTATTTCAAGATCAAGATTATGTGATAGCACATTTCACTCGAATTAGAAAGGCCAACGATACCATTATGGCGCGACAGCACTGCGCACACAATGGACACAAAACAGAGGGCAAAAAAATGTTGTGGCAAGATCATGGTCAGTGCAGCTATTATTAGATGATTACTTGCACTTTTTTTTTCGTCCATCCATTTTTGACTGAACGAAAAATCCAATTCCATAGAAAACTTTTATGTCGACTCGGAGACAGCAAGCGACATGCAGAGAGAAAGAGATTTAGAGAAAGAGAAACAGGAGGAATGGTGTAAATTGGCTTATGATTTACTCTCGGCTTTTCCACAATGAATATATCTTCTGCTGCCAATGGATTTCATATACAATAATTGAATTCAACCAAAGACTACACACCATGATGACAGTTGCTGATGAAGACTAATCATCATTGAACCGAACATAATTACGGATAAGTTGCGAAAAGAGCCTCTCATTAGGTGGATGCATTGTTATGCCAACGATGGAGATGAGATGTGTGGCACGGCGTGCGTGTGTTTGTGTGGGTATCAATGCATTGTGGCCGTTTGCTATGTTGCGCATATGCGTCGTTGCACATCAAGTCAATTAGTGCGAGGCTGAAAAGCGTCACGCGCGCGCGAGAAACACAGAGAGCTGTTTACCTGTTGTGTGTAGGAGGCGGACTTTATCGAATTATGTATTTATTTTCATCCGGCTCATATTTCGATCCAATATAAAAAAGAGTAAAATAGGCGGAGCTTGGAGCACAATATCGAATTTATTCGATCATTCGAACGGCGGGGGAAATTCAAATTGGAGATGATTCTCAATTGTGGATCACTTTTCAATCATATACCAGATTAGATTCTCTTATGAACAATACAATCGGTATTTACGTGTGGTATAACTAACATTGTTACAGAACGTTGTTATAATTTTAACGGTGTCATTTGATGCATTGGCATTTTTGACGATGATTGACTGGCATTTTAACATCTTATATGACTCTGTCGTGTTTGTTTTCCTCCTTCTGCAAACCAGAATCTGAACACATTAAATTGAACATTTGTTTTATCTGCTTCGTGCAAATGGTGCACTTAACTCGAAATGACTGTGATAAAACTGGATTCAAACCATGTTTAATAAATACACCAGCGATTATTTGAATATGATGATTGGATTCGACTCAACGACTCCACGAACTGCCTCAAGCCATCCGCTTGACATTACTTTGATTCGATTATGAATAGATTGAACGATAGAATGAATGCCATTTGCAAACATTAAGTTCAATCACGGTTAAAGTCCATTTTTTTGCATCGTGAGACAATGCAACACATTTCAGCTGGGAATATTTATTTTACTCTTTTTTTTCATGAAGTTTATTTATTCAAACCAAATTGAGACAAATACATGAAGTGTGGCGCCTTTTTCAGTATTCATTTTTTTTTCATTTTTGCTTTGGATAGAGCAAAATCAAATGGAAAAAAGAGAAAAAAAACGTGCAAATGCACTGCACATGCAATTATTAAGTTTAAGCGTTTCAAAAATGATTTATTCAGGCTCACATTTGGTCATATCTGTCGTGTGATCTGAATGTGATGTGAGACAAATTGAAATGTATCATACATTTTACGTATCAAATGCGCACTATTTCATGAAAAACACACCTAAGCACACACACACACATACATTTGATTACCTAACGCATTGTTCGATCTTGATTTGGCCATCGAACATGTAACAATACCCGCTGGTAAGTATCACATTTTATTTAGCTATTAGCCATTTGTGCCTAGTAATTACACGAGCGTTAGACGCAGCAGCGAAAGTAAACGGTGTGCTAAAATGCTTTTCAATTTGAATTGAATGCACACCCCAATTTGAAAACGGGAATAAATCAGGATTAGCCATCTGATCGTGTGTCGCATACAAAGCGTTTAGATAGACACATGACATACTTTTCCATTCAACAATTCAACTACGGTTGTTGTTCGTGCCGAGCTGAACTATAGCAAAATCTATTTGCTTTCTATGAGTCTCTTCCTTTAAAAAAAAACAGCTTCTGTCGCAGAAAAAAAACTGAATCGGCGTCATGACAATTCACATCCAACCACTGTATTCCCATTGATTTAAATCGTTGAATAAATTTGTGTTTTCTTTTCAAGTCAGATAAAAAAGGGTGCAATTGTTATGATTATTGCAGTGTCGGTTGTCTCTGTGTGTGTTTTTTTCTCTTTCTCGTTCAAGTACGACATAAGTGATATTAAGTGGAGGTAGAAAAACAACAGTATTGCCTTGTTGTAGTCCCGTTTTTTTGCCCATAATTTTCGGGCTGATGCAATAAGCGACTGGCTGTTCTAATGGCAAATTGGGTAAGCTCGTCAACACACACACACACCAAAGTACACAAAGGATTGGAGACGGTAGAACGAATGACAGAAGAAAAAACAACAAACCAAAGCGGGGACGTTAAAAAAAGATTTACATGATAGCGATTTGACTAAAAATGTTTTGTGCAATCGTCGAATCGAGATACTACTCAATTTAGTTGTGTTTCGTCAGTTGACATAACAACACCGAACACACGTAGTGTGTGGGTTTTGTGAAGTGCATATCAGTTGTGAGTGATAAATCGACAATAGAATCGACGAAAGGAAGCGTCCAATGAGTGTGTTTGTTGAAGGCAAAGTAAAACGAGTTTATTTGACGTCGAAAATGTCAGTATTTTTGATGTTGTGATTAAAACTGAGACTCTTGATACTGGACACAGGAGAAAAAAAACAACAAACAAGCATATAATATTATGATAAAGCCAATCAAAGCACTCTGAATAGATTCCCACCCAGCGGCCAAAAATTCACTATCGTTTAATACCAGCTTGTTCCAGAGAGGGAGATAGAGACACAAACACCGCGCGAACTCCGCTCGCGCTCGGCTCATTCTCTCATTCGCTTGCTCGCGATCTCTTTTCTCTATCGATGATTATCTTTTTTGTGTAATGTATTCGGATTCGACAAAAACCGCAATACACAAACACTCTAGACCTGGAACAACATGAACACCGATTGAACGGAACGGATGATTATTGATCGAAAGGTGTTTTGCAGCAAATTATACATCGTAAAACGCGCACAAGCAACAACACAGAGAAAATAAAACAGTTCGAACCACAACAAGAAAACGAATCGCACCCAACGCGTAAAGTGCCTATTAATTCAACCGAAAACTGTCGGAACAAACAGAACGATCGCCACAAATACACAAGCACATCTTCGTAACCAAAAGAAGAAAAACATGCACGGCATACAAAATACCACACATCGATTCAACGCATTCCTCAGTGATTCCGATTATGTTAGTGTGCATTGAATGCACCCGATAATGGGCTGATGCCTTAAAATGTGTTCCTCTTAGTGTGCTTTTGCGTCGTAAAAATTCAAATGAAAAGTTTTTGTTTTCGGTTTTTGCACCGAGTGGAAGAGTCTTGAAAAACATCGTTGAACGAAAGAAAAACCGTACACACAACAGTGTGCGCAACAACAAGAGAAAAACGCCATGCAAAGCATCAACAAGCCACAAAAAATAACGTGCATCTCGTTTCCATCGACAGTTAAACTCATGGTTTGCAACTCATACACATCGCTATCGTAGCAAAAGAACACCGAATCAGTGAGTGAAACGCACAGCACATGCACCACACACAACGGCATAAAAGCCAACGGCACACAGCACACAGCTCAACCACACGATTGATGAATGAAAATGATCGGGGAAATGGGATTTTCCACGTACCCAAAATTCAACACATCATTCGCCTGAATCAACAACAATAGAGCTAATAAAACCATCATTAGGTGTATAGACATTGCACCCATTGCGCGCATTGTTATCCCATCTCGACGGTTTTTTTGTTTTGCAATTACTCAGTCGTTGTGCAATTTTCGTCAGTCGATTATGGAATACGGCCGATTTTGACTTGATTTGGTGGGAAAAAAAGAGTGTGAAAAAAACTGTTGTTCAGTGCTGACAAAGAAAATAGAACGATAGAAGAAGAAAAAAGTTTTTTTTTAGTTTATGTCAAGTTTCGTGTGATTAAACAATGATTAACGTAACAAATCTATCGATTTCGACAGAAAAAAGTGCATTTTGTCTGAATATAGTTAGATAAAAGAAAGACCAACGTTTTTATTTAGAGTTGTGATTCACAACTTGTGAAAAAATATCGTGCTTCTGTTTAAGTGAATCGAACCATGCGATAATTTTTGGCATCTCACCTACGATATGGCACCGTGGATTAAACCAGCATTTATTACATTCTTTCTAGTTTTATTCCAAAGGTAATCATGTTTTGACGAAGCATTTTTGAGGGATGGACATTTGTTGTTCAGTGACTGAACTTCAGTCAAATCTATTGATATCGTTACGTTATACGTAATTATCGTACATCAAATGTTCATATCTGTTCAGTTAATATCATTGTATCATATGATAATTATCGTTCTCAATGCTCACATAAAATGGAATTGTTTGAAGTTTGAAATTGAAGAAAAGATTTAAATGTAAATTGAAATGGAAACTGATCCATTAATGTGCTGAATTGAATTTCGTACATTCGGTGTGAAAAGATGAAAAATCGTTATCAGTGACCATTTGCATTTCTTACCTCGGAATCTTAAAATGATATATCCTTCGTTTTAAGAGTTTCATGATTTCACTTGACAATTCAAAAACTTTTTTTTTCTGCTCCAGAAACACGCACCACATTTTGACCCATCTTATCTTAATAACCGTGACTTTTGCATTGATAAACTTCGATTTAAAGAATATTTTAATTGGGAAACATTTAATTAATGGCGTCTAGTTTTTTTTCGTGTGTGTATGTGATAAGAAAAACGAAGAGCCAACAGAGAATGAAATGAAATTTCGCATTCAACTCAAATACACATTGCAGTAGTCGATCGAATAACCAGCTGAAATAAGGATCGAGTCGCTTGCAAAATTGAAACAATTTTATCTACAAATAAATTGAAAACGAGTGTCGATATTAAGTTAGTGTTTTAACTGATAACAAGCGTGAGAATGTGAACGCGCGTGAAAAAACAAAACAAAATGAAATGCTAGTCAATTTATAAGTGCTTTCTTCGAAATGGTGTTAAATCAACATGCGGACTGATAAGAACAATCAAAGCCTTAATTCCAATGAATAATTCAAAAGATTTATGTTGAAGTACAAAAATGGCGAAATTTACGCAACTTGCGCGGTTCTGCACTTTTTTTGCAACAAAGTCACGCGTTTAAAGCCTCTATATCCATTCCATAATAATCTTTTTCATGTCTTTTTTGAATTTTTCTTTTACTTTCCAATAAAAATTTAAAGAAAGAACGAAATGAAAAGTATTCCAAAGTTTTCACTTTTTACACAAAGGAACCAAAGTAATAAACAAGGGTGCTGTCCAAAAAATACCGGGTTTTTGATCAAAGTCAAAGGCATTTTATTGCCTCCAAAACTCTATAGTGTTTTTTCTGGTTATTTTCATTTAAAATTTTCCGTTCCAATTCCAATACTTGAGTGGTTTCTAGAATAAAGAGCCGAGATGAAAGAATTCAGCTTCGGATGCTCCAAAAAAGTTTCAAAGAATGAAAAAAATTCTGCCCAGCTAGCAAACAAGTATCCATCAGAGATGGATACTATCCATAAAGTCGGTCAAACAACAACGGAAAAAACCCGGTCAATATTTGGGTAACGTTCATAAATTATCTGCGCTCGAAGCATTTTGTCTGGTCGTACGGTCAATTGTGGTTGCAATGATGAGAAATGAGTAAAAATGTGGTTCTCATCGAAATTTGTCGCAGAATTCTTCATTTTGCGGTTTTGCGATTGACATTTTTAGCTTTTGTTCGCGACAGATATTGATCAAAGATATATCGAATTTATTGTTAGATTATCGATGGCGCTTGCTATTCGGTAGCTTCTGATTTAGTAGCGTCTCATTCGCGCCATGCGAATTTGGATCAATGTCCTTCACGTGAAATTCTTTTTGCAACCATTCGTTTGTGCTTCATGACTTTGTTTTATGCTGGAATATGAATATTAAACGCAAAACGCAGAAGCGCTTATCGCATACAATCTTCGCTTCAAAAAGTCGAAGAACGGAAAATTAAATATTACAAAAGAAGTTTCATCAAAGAATGTGGCTGACGACGGAGAAGAGCGACAGAGAAAGAGGGGCAAAAAAAATGCGAGATATGAGCTCACCAAACTTAGACTTTGTCAAAGAATTTTTGCTAATTTACCAGACATTTAAATTGATAAAATAAAACAATTTATACACAAAGAGTTTGTGTTTTTTTTTCGCTCTCATTGTTGTTGAACTTGATGTTGAAACGTTGTTTTACCGTGGTGTAAGAGCAGTTACACGATTTCCAAGTTCCAATTATTGGCATAGTTTCATGCGATGATTTCGTTGTAGATCGTTGTTTTTTTCTGCTTCTCCGTTTCGTAGCCACAAAGTTAATTGCAAGCGATGAGTTGATTCGCTTGATCTTATTCTTTTTTTCGTGCGTCTTGCTTGGTTCTTGTGTTTGATGTTCATTTTGTGTGTGTGTGTGTGTGTGTGTGTGTGTGTATGTTATTCCGCGAGAGATTATCGCATTGCAGCGATTTGTGAACATTCAGCTGAATTCCATGAATTTTATGGGGCAAACGATGGAACAACGAATCGAATCGAATAAAATGAGAAAGAAGCATCCATGGAACTTTGAGCATTCTAAATAATCATAATGCATTTTTTGCTGCATTGTGTTGGAATTTTTCCATTTTGTGAGCATACGCACACACACACACACACACACGGCAGACAGATTCAATGGCACAAAACTGCAGAGTGACAGAAAGAGAGAGGGAGGGAGACAAAAAAAAACTCACAGGACGTGGGAAATTGGATATTCACAAATCAAAGCGATGAGAATGATGAAAAATATCTTCTTGTGATATCTTTGAAGCCCGGTATTGTAACGCAAACAACGAAATTCCAACGTGGTAACACAAACACATTGCGCGCGCTCTCTCGTGCAAAACAGGACTCTCAGGGTTTGTTTAAGGAAATTAAATGCTTCCGCACACCGAGCCCCGCACTTGAAACAACAGCATTTCTGCACCTAATTGAATAAAGAACCAAACACGACGAGTACCTGCGTTTGATATGCAAATTTGATCTGGTTTCTGGTGTGCACGCAACTCACGGTTGTTTTTTTTCGGCCTGACAAGTGGATTATGCGTGAAAACTGTTGAAGTGTTGCATTCTTTGATGTTGGTTGCGTGACATTCACTCAAGTGTTTTCAGTCTATGACCCAAACAATGCCTATATACCCACGAGAGTGTTGTTGTTGTTGTTGCTGGAAAATTGATTGCATTTGTTTTAATTAAAAAATTATGTCTGTTTGAAACATCAAAACATTTGTTGTCGCCACCGTATCGATTTTCATTCGGGAATCTTCTTTTTTCTTTCAACTTTTTTCATTTCAGATAATTTTTTCCTTCAGTATTTCGATGTTGAATCTTTTTCCTCTTCAACTTATAACATTTCGTATCTTTTTTCTTTGTTCCCTCCATTCAGAATAATGTACAGCACATCGGATATTCGATCGTCATGTCGAATTGTACCGGGTTTATCACGTGAGCAGCTCGACTTATGCTACAAAGCGAATGATGTTACCATCGCTGCGCTAGACGGTTTGGATTTGGCTATGCGTGAATGTCAATTACAGGTAATATATAACAGAATGCGTCAAATTGCCACACACCTCGTCGTGCAGCCCAACATCAATGTAAACTAATCCAAAATTCAAATATTTTAGTTTCAGTGGCATCGTTGGAATTGTTCGTCACTTAACTCAAAGAAACGTAATCCATACACATCGAACCTATTGAAAAAAGGTAAGCCGCATGATTGGGTCCGCCCGATTGTTCCTTTATTTTATTTGTTCGCGAATGCGCCGTGTACAAAGGAAACGAATTGAAAAATCATCGATTTTAATGATGCATCCACGGTTACTGCGGGAAAAAACAGCTCAAAGAAAAGGGAAATCACTTTACAATTTAATCACTTAATTTAAATTTGATTACTGCCCTGAACACCAAAAAAAAAAGAAACGCACCGAAGAAAAGTTGATCGAATACAATTATTCACACTTGTGCACGAGAGAGGAAAAAAAATGAACAACAAACGCGATTAAACACACACGCGCGCACAAGTACACGCGAACACAATTCTGACGCGATATTGGAGGTTTGGCCTTTCCAATTTACCATGCACATTGCATCGACTCATGCATATAATTTTCAATTTATATCAAGAGAAATAATGCACAAGCCACAACATAACGACACACACAAAGGGCCACATAAATTCCATGCCGAATGAAAGAGATGCAGAGAATTATTTTATGTTTGACCTCAACCAAATTAGCCATGCATTCCATTCATAGATCCGTAACGAAAAAATGAATATTTACATTAATACACAATTTCAGTTTTTTTTTCTCCATTTGAATCAAAGACGAGAGAAATATTTACGAAAAAAAAAATATGAAAGAAACGTTGATGACGGCACAAGCCGGAGCTAAGGAGGAGCAAATATTTTGGAAATAGAAACTTGAGAACTCTTCTTTGAAGTGGACTTTCGTTTGGTAGATGAACACTTTCATTCAAGTATTCGAGCTGCTCTCGAGCTTTGTTCTATTCTTTGGAAGCAAGAACATGAATTACAGATAATTTCTACTATAAATTAGAAGATACCAAAAATATGACCTGAATGTTGATTAGCCTAAATGATTTGCTCCCCTTTTCTTAAATTACGCCATTAATCCCAATTAATAATTTCGGTCATTTTGTTTTCATGTGCTTCAGTTAGATTTTCAGATTTCAAACCAAAAACTAGTGAAAAAAAAACCGGAGATTTTAAGGCTGAAACGAAGAACACAGCTCTTTAAAATGCATTTAATACGTCTTTATTAAGAAAGACTCTTTAATCAAAATGTAATTTCTAATTTCTCAATGGGCCATATTGAATGAGGCTTTCTTTTCGGGCATTTTCTGAATGAAAGTCCATTGTCAGAGCGATAAAAATTTCATTCAGAACATTTTCCGATGCATTTTCATTAATTACTAATGCCGTTTTACAGTGGTGAATAATGTTCAGACAACGACAGCCATGTCGATTCTATTACAACAACAGAAAGATGAAGAGATAAAGGAAAAACAGTAGAAAATTTCTCAACTAAAGAACTACAGAGTAAAATGAGATAAAGCGATGAATTTATGTGTGAAATGCGCAGAATCTGGCCTAATTACAAAAATCGTAATCTAGCTACCAAAACAATTGACAAGATTTATTGAAGTTTCTGAATGTATTTTCATAGCTTAACATCATCCATTTCACAGTTTGTATGAACCATCAACTTCCTCTGGAAAGAGAACAAAAGTCTAAAACCGCTGGAACAAATGGCTGCATGAAAATAGCATCGTTACCGCAGTTTCCAAGCGAGATCGAAAAAAATCGCTTAAAAATATTGTAAATAAAACCAAAATGTGATTTTGACCGCAAAGTAATGTGACACCGCGAAATTGCTATTACAGCAGCAAGAACGATAACAACAAAAGCGAACAAGCAGTGTGTGCAACGAGAAACGACAATTCAACGGAAAGAAAGACGGCGAAATGAGAAAAGCGAACCGCATCAAAAACGAATTGTGCGCATGGCGACTGGCTGCACGATAATCACGGAAAACCAATCAATATCATTAAATCGTTTTGTGATCGAAATCATTGTCGTGGTTATTCGCGTCATTCCATCTCTTTCTCTATCTCTCGTTCTCGTTCTCTCAATTTTCCTAGCTCTTTCACCCAAACGAGAGCGTAGTATTCCGTTTGCCATATCCAAATGGCGATGAATGCGCCTGCATACCGATAAAGAACACCGGCTGAAGAGAAAATAAAACCCGGTTTGGTCCCGTGGTCGTAAGCTGTTTAAAAATCGCTAAAAAGCACTTCATTTGTTCAACAAGTTGTATATATGTTTGTTGAGTATGCACCATTAAGGTAGTTCGATATTTGCCTACCGATAAATCCATAAATTTTCCAGCACACTGGCGAAATATAAATGTGCGCGCTGCGCTCAAGTCCAAATCAAATGTACACACAGAGAGAGAGACAGTGAATGCAACTGAACAAAAAAAATGATCGCTGTGTACCTTTCTCGCTCGCTCACTGTTTGCCAATCGCATTGAAAGACATCCGCACAAAACGCGCGGCGAAGACAAAATGTCAATCTGTCGACGGAATTGCAACATTACTTGCCGCGATTCCATTCGATTTAGACAATATTTATGGTGAAGTTCATTCGATAAATATTCAATCTCGCGGACCGTGGTACTGCGCCCGTGCACTGCCATTTGCATTGTGCATTGCTCTTAAGCATCCCAGCAAGTTGACATTGCTTTCTGCATAAATTCGGTTTGATTTTGTTTATTGGCCACGGGCAATAAATTCACCGCAGTGCATTTCATTTAAATATCAATAAAATGTATACAATTTTCAATGAATTCCACGGAATAAGGCTAGCGGAACAGAGCCAACAAAATACCGCACTTAATTGTACGCTAACACAAACGCATGCGACGCAAAACCGAATCATCAATGAAATTAACAGGGCAAACGAACATTTCTAAATCAAAACAAAGATTACATGCATAGAATATGCGAAGAATGGACAATCAGATGCAAACAGATAAATAAACACGACAAAAGGACGAAACGAAGAAAGAAGAGCTGGAGTCGATGTGATAAAATTGCGTTATTTTTTGCGGAAGTGACTTTAAATCTGATTAGGAATGTTGCTTCAAATCAATCATAGTTTTTATCTCAAATAGAAATCTTAATCCAATTATGAGTCACTTTTTACCATTTCATTTGAGTACTGGCTACTGTTCAAGACTCTTAGAAAAGATAGAAGAGAGAAGAAACAATTGAAGAATTTTCACTCATTTTTCGATGAGTTCCCAAAAGAATGATTCGTTTGTCCTCTAAACACTGATTCCTTTTCAATTTTTCTTCTACGTCTCGTCTCGTTAAACGACTCATTCGATAGTGAATCAAATTCAACTTCCAAAACCAATCAGTAGCCCTAATTTGAGTCGCATCCTCGTTCACTTTTATTATAAAACCGCACTGCAAATGTCATTTTCATGATCGCATTCATTGCAATTATGCAAATCCGTGTGACTCGTTTTGTGGTTGTCGCGGTGTAACGATTTCAATGCGACAGACATTTCATTCGGGATCTCTTGGTTTCACACATATTTCCGAATCGAAACGAGGCGAATATCATCGAGAGAGAACGCGAGACAAGAGAGTAAATGCAAATAAAAGAAGATGAATGCAAGAAACAATGCGATCCGGTGTGTCACTCTTGTCAAGGCACTCGGTTAACAAGAGAGCGATAAACAATTGAAATAATTTATCTCTTTTGTTTGTGTCGTTTTGTTTTGTCATCTCATCTTGTTTATTTCGACTTGTCGACGTTCTTCTTATTTTCCCTGTCTCTATTCGTTTCTCTCTCTCTCTCTCTTATACGCTCTCTTTGTCCCTTCTTTTCTCTCTTGATTCGTCTCATTTGCATTGTCTATGAAGCCAATGAGGATGTGCTATTGATTTTTCTTTCCTCGAAAATTTCATTGAGAATCCGTTAGTTGAACATTTTTTGAGTAAATTTTTTTCTCTTGGATTATTATCCGAAACAGGCTACAAGGAGAGTGCATTTGCATACGCCATCTCGGCAGCGGGTGTTGCGCACAGCATTGCTCGAGCGTGTTCGCAAGGTCGTTTAATTTCATGCGGATGTGACCCATATGTGAATCGAAAAGGTTTCTCCAAATCGTTGCGCAAATATTTAGAATTGGACAAACAGCATTTCTTTCAAACAATCGACAATCGCATCATTGACGCGGCGCCCAGCTATGCGTCAACCAAAACGCCAAGGTAAATTTTTGGATGAAATGATCCTATTCATTTTACGGAACAGACTCACGCTTGTTTGCATCCATTTATTTGCAGATTAAAGGCAACAAATCGCTGGAAATGGGGCGGTTGTTCACATAACATGAACTTTGGTATCGAATTTTCGGAATTGTTTTTGGATTCCCTGGAAAAAGCCGGTGACATTCAATCGAAAATCAATTTGCACAATAATCACGTCGGACGATTGGTAAGAGTCAGAATGGCTTCGATTTTCCAAACAATAAAAAAAATTTCTTTTCCCATTTTTTCCAATCTCTCAAAGGCGGTGGCCAACAACATGCAAATCCGGTGCAAATGTCATGGAATGTCGGGCAGTTGTCAGCTGAAAACTTGTTGGAAATCTGCACCCGAATTTCGAATCGTTGGCAAAGTATTGAAGCACATGTTCCGCAATGCAGTCTTGGTGAATCAATCGAACATGGGCAATGGTGAAGCATTAATATCGTCAAATCGTTACGACAAACAACGAAGTCGAAACGCAGTTCGATCGACACGGAAAATCTTCAATAAACATTCATCGATGCGTTTCAACGGAAAAACAACGGAAAATAGTTTGTTTTACTATCAGCGCTCACCAACGTTCTGCGACCGTGACCCGATGTCCGATATCCACGGAACGACTGGACGTCGATGCAATCGAAATACAACTGGTGTTGGAAGTTGTTCGTCAATGTGCTGCGGCCGTGGATATAATTTGATCAAGGAGCATCGAGTGGAAAAATGCTCTTGTAAATTTCAATGGTGTTGCAAGGTGGAGTGTAAAGAATGCCACAGCGACGAATGGATCAGCATTTGCAAATAGATTAAGCATACATTTCTCTCTTCCGAATTAGAATCGAACCCTCCGATCAGTCTATAGTGTTCCATTTTTGTGAAGCCCAATTTATGTGCACTGCACACTCTCATGAATTTTCGATTTTTTATCAATTTCATTATTGTTTTAATTTGACTTTTTACAGCCGTGCCAAATGCCATACGTCCATGTCAAAATGTTGATTTAGTTACATAGCGATTAGCCATATTTATGTTGTTAGAATTTAAGTGCAAGCTCAGTTTTTTTTCGTCCTTTCTCGAAAAATAAATAGTTTCCGATAAATTTTAGTGCTAAATTATAAACAGTAGATGGTTTGAAGTGACAAAGAAAAAAAATGTTGTAATTGTGCTTTTTGTTTTGTGGATTTTCGAAAAGTAAAGTGCGGGAAATAGTTCAGTATTAAATCTTTATTCGAGTTCATTTATTTAAACAACACAAATAAATATTGGTATAAATTCTATTTTGAAAGTAAAACATGATTTACTAGGTATATAAATAAAATGAAACACTTATAATTCAACTGCGTCGCCTTCGTACTCGAGCATAATGCCAGGATGGATTTCTTCTTGAACATAGGTTCCAATGTTGTGTAGTGCATCGTCACCGCCGAGCAATGTACTTTCACCGAATGATAACTTTCGTTGCGATGGAACGGGAGGAGCTATTGGTTTTAGACGCGGTGCCACCGGCGGTGGCAAATTATCATTTTCATCAAAATCAAAGTTTTGTTTCATCGATGCCGATGAAAAGACAATATTTCCATTGGTTGGCGAACTTTCGTCCTCCGTTTTGGTTCGTTTCATCGATGCGCGTTGATGTTGCGTTTTTCGTAGCATTCCTTGGAAGTTAAACGGTGGCGCATCGTCAGTGTTCTTCGAACATGAAAAAAAACGAAGGTTTTATCAACATTTTATTTTTTTGTTGTTATCACTTAGGGTTACCTTTTTTCACCGAATGAAAAACAATTATCTAAACTAAGTTACCTCATCATTATTACTCGAATTTTGGCGTCCGATCATCTGTAACTCCTTGACTGGGTTCAATTTGCCTCTAACTGCATTCAAATCTTCACTGGCTACCGAACGATCAGGGCCATCATAGCGTATAATTGGTTTTGGAGTGGGTGATCCAGCGCGGCTCTTATAGACAATAGGACGCGTTGGTTCTGGGAAATGACGTGATGGCTCATCGCCAGGGATGATTCTATTTTTCGAACAACAACCAAATTATTAGGATTGATATTGAAAAGAAGTGTTTCAATGAAAAGAATTTCAAACTTCAAGTGAATCAAAGTACAGATAAACCTTAGCTCTAGCAATCTGTGCCATTTTTCATAAGGCGTCTCCACTCGCATTGAGTTTGTATTGTGAATGTTAAGGTGCGTGCAACGCCCTTCAATGTAAAAAACAATACAAGTGGAGATGATACACGGGATTTATCTGTACTTTGAAAAAAAAACTCTAAATTAAATGATTTTCTTTTTCAATTTGAATATTTGATATCCATTACCGTTGATATTTGTTGGCATTGAAACCGGACGAAACACTGGATGAGTTGATAATATGGCTGGAAATGTTGGTGGTGCGTCGAAGTGGAGCATCCCAATCTTCGTTGTCTGAGTCATCGATTTGTTCCAGGGCTTTGCCGGTGGTTGGATCGCACATGTAATTCGTATCATAAAATGGTATTTCGTCCAAACGGAATGGCAATTTTCGAACAGGTTGACGCACTGATCCAAGCAGCGCTGGGTTTGTTTCCCTTGGATCAATTTTTTCCAACATCATGCATTCATTGTATTGTCTTATATTAGCAACAGCAGCTTGATTATATAAATGAATCTAAAAGGTGTCGATTCAACAAAACAGTTCATTAAATTCAATTAAGGGCAAATTTGAGAGAGAGAAAAAGAGGGTTGACAAACCTGTTGAGTAAGATTTACTAAATCTTGATAACGTGCGGAACGATACAGTAAGAGAATTTGGAATATCGATTTGGCTAGCCAACGTTTAGCAAATGGTCGAATGAATTTCGATGTTTCCAAATCGATTTTGCCGGTGTTTGAATTCAACAAAGGCCCATACTTCTGTCGAACCTTATATCCGCGATAAGCTTCCGAAAACATGGAAAAATGGATTATATCGATTTCGCATTAGATACACACCACAATCATACGGGAATAATGCAATTAAACGCAGTTTTGAAAAGGCTTAGCAAACCGTAGTTAAGACTCTACTAAATTATCTCTGAATTTGGTTTTGCATGTTTCGAAAAAACCATACTAAAACGCAAATAAGCTTCAATTCAACGGTTGCTTTCTCTTTTTTGGGGTTAATATATGAACATTATTGTTACAGTAATCGCGTTAGATGGTATATAGTATATAGACACACATTTCCAACGCCTCAACAATCCAACACTCGGTTTATTAATCCGAGTCACTTTCGGAATGTGTAATACCTTTTTGGATGGTAACCGCTGCCTGATCATCGGTTAAATGATGACCATCGACTTTTCCCTCTTTTTGAACTGTCGAATGGAAAACATAGAGAAATGAATTTAAAAAAACGACACTAGTATCATGCCTAAAAACGTGCCAATTCGCACATTTCAAATGAGTAAATGGCAAAGTTATGAACAGAGATGACTTTTACCACTCACCTGATACTTGGTGGAAAGCCTTCAATCTACTTGCCACATTACGTTTTGCCAGAAACGCACGCATCATTGACTGCACCTTGACGATCTTCTTCACCTGAGTCTCATACAATCTAATTTGTTGAAGAATTTTAACGATATTAAAATGAATAATTTTGGCATTATTGATAACGTTCTTTCCTTTCTTCAATCAAATCTTTGCCCGTTTTATATTTGTTTTAAATTAAAATGGTTTTTTCAATTACCGAGATAGATATTCAACATTGTAATATTTCAGGAAGACTTTTGTTTTTCCAATTGCCCATCCCTCCATCTTCAATCGAATCAAAAGCAATCTGCAGTTGTCTTTGGTCATTTCAACATTCTCATCGAAATCGAATGCCAAAAACTTGTATCTGAAGTGGAAATAAAATTCTTCATATTTCAAAAAAGATATTCGATTCCAATATTACCGTCTCAAGAACTCCTGGAAGCAAATACGCTGTGAAAAACCTTTTTGACGAGCTACAGCTGTATCATAAATTTGCAATGCTCGAATTTGTTGATGCACCATATCACTCTGCAATTAAATTATTCATCTCATTGATCGAAAAGAGTTAAACAAACCCATATGATCGGTTAAAATGTTCAGTGAGTTCGAATGAATCGATAATTATCGATTCGATATAGTGTTTAAAAACAGTAAAAATAAAAAATAAAAAAATTGTCTAAATGAAACTCACATGGAAAGCTCTTGGTTTATAATCCAAAGTTGGTCGAACGCATCGCACAAAATGTGTATTTCCACTGCTGCCGCCAATCGATAGACCTTTCAAGATTTCCAATGATGTCATTCGGAATACTGCTGACAAAGTTCGCATCTTGTGAACTTGAGAGTATTGTCCATGCGAAAGTGTGTTCAATTTCTGTAGAAAAATTTAATCTCATTCGGTTTAGTACTTAATTTTTAACGTTTGAACTACTCAAAATGCATTCATTTGACTTGTATAGTTCCAGTTTTTCATTAAAAATTCATAATTATTCAAAATGTCCAAACTTCACCTTGGCCCTATGTTTTTCAGCAACCAAAGCTGCACCCCATTTGGATTTAGTTTTTTCGCATTTGCCAACTGGCATTTGATGATTGTAAGCAACAGTGAGGTTGCCCGTTTTTGATAATGGATTCAAGAATAATATCTTCACCATTTCATCAGTGGACAATCTCAAAGTTTCCATCTGCAAAAAGATCATGACGGAAAGGGGTGGAACGTAATTATTTTATAACAAAATTTAAAATTTATTGTGAGAAAGAGAAGATGTTTTGCAGTCCCATCAGTATTGATGTTCTTTCCATGTTAAAATGTAATAAAAATGGCAATAAAAACAAGGCATACCATTTCTGGAGGAAGAAAATCTCGGTTTTTATCAGCCATATTACGGACATCATAGGTGACTTTTCCAGTATAATGGGCCACACTGAACTCATGTACACTTGCTCTTTGCACATACGAATTTTTCCTTCTACTGATCGTATCTATTTTGTAATAATAAAGAAATCATTTCAATTAGCGTTCAATTTCCACTAGTTCAATATGAAATGTCGAAAAGTTTGAACATTGAAAAAAAAGTTGATTGATCCCAAACTTTCAAACCAATCAATCGAACTTTCATTCGACAAAAATATGGAAATGTAAAACAAAATCAGTTGAATTAAAATCTTGCATTCACATACCAGTGATGAATTCATAGTTCATTCGATCGCGCGTACAATCGTCCAAAAAGAAGAACAAACCGTACGGTTTGGACATCAAATGGTCAACGGTTTTTTTGTTGTTGTGATACTTGTAAATGGAATGCGGAATTTGTTCTTCTTCCAATTCAAGCAATTCCCATGCAAACATCCGTTGATTATAGAGGTATTGCAGCTGCTCATTCAGCGAATTAATCATCAATTGGTCGATGTGATTGCGAGGCAAGCACTCAAAGCCAAACATATCGTTCAGCGAAATCATATTCGCATCGCCACTGTGTGTGTGTGTGCATGCACAAAACAGAAATGAGACAAATCAAGCCATAAAAGGAGAAACAGAGCAAATTGTCTTAATAACCGACAACAATGTATATATCGTTCAGTTAAACTTACAAAATGGCTCGACCGAAGGCAAATTTCTGGTTGATAATATTAACGATCCAATCAACCAAGCGGCTGTAAATCGTTCCGGCAAGGACATCACGTGCATCTCGCGCCTCATCGTTGGTATGTTTTCGTTTTTCGGCCAATCCACCTTGAACCAGGCAATAATTGACCAGCGCCCATTCAAATTTCTTTTCATCCAACTCAAGCAGTTGAGCCACTTTATGCACTTCGACGGTGGTTTCGATCGTTGCAAATTTACCATCTTCAGTGAATCGAACATTGCCTAAGATTAAAATTGCAGCTAAAACCTTGCGAATCGATTCGATTTCTCCCTCTTCGAAATCCATCAGCTTAAGATTCTCTTCGAATTGTTGGAATTTCGTAACATTTCCTTCTGGATCGTCACGGCAATATGGCAGCTTGCAATCCAATAACTCTGATTCAACACGCAAATAACGGTAATTCCGACCTGATTCCAAATTCAATGAATCAAGTTGATCCAATTTACTCATTGCATCGTAGAAGTAGTAGAAGATATGAAAGTTGGATTGATCCCTTTAAATTAACCAACAACAAAAAAACAAGATGTGAGTAAAATGCAGTGAATGCGTGGCGTCTCCATCTACTCAAACTTACATATCGGTTGAAGATACGCGCAACTTTTCCAATAAGAACACGTTATAAATAGCTCCACTTAATTTACCAGCTGTCCCAAAAGTTAGCTGCGTTTGCAAAGCACATCTCGTTGAATCGGGATTGACTGGCGTGCCAGCATTTACTAAAGAATGTACGATATCCAAGGATTTTCGTACACGAGTACTGCAATTCTGATTGCCCGAACCCAAAAAACATAAATGATCAATTGTTAAGCGAAATTGGGTCGTTTTTCCCGAATAACTTTCACCAGCAAATAGAATATGCTGCGGATCTTCATGGTGTAACATATCTTGATACGCACTATCGGCAACGGTGAATATGTGCGGAGAATTGTCCGAACGTGATTTGCAATTGTATCGGCTGTGAAACTGGGAAAAAAGGAGAATTTACGAGAGAGTTTAGCACAAAAGGCAACATAAACACTCTTTTTTGAAGCTGTGAAAACAATCAATCGAGAAAAACTAGGCTAAATTTGGGACAAACGTGAAATTGTGACAAAGATTCAAAAATACAAGAAATGATTACTTACAGCGCGCGAAAATTGCTTGGGCAATTCATTGGAATTCAATGAAATCAGAACATCACCAGCAAATGAGTACGAATCGCCTCTTTCCAATCTCTGTTTCAGTAATTCCGCAATCCTCTCTTCGGTCAATCTATCCAAACTGCACAAGTCTTCGACCAACATTTTCTCCGGATCTGCATCGTACCTTTTGATGCATCCTTCCATAATGGAAATCTCTTCTTTCGGGAATTTATCCAAAACATCGATTTGCGACAGCAAATGCTTTATTTCACATGAAAACTGAGAGAAAAATGCATATTTTTTTGTCTTATTTGTTTGGAAGAATCGGTTTTTATACGCAAGGTTTTTAATCGAAATGGAATTTTAAACAATTTGGAATAAATCGCTAATTTTGGTTTCAATTAACTTTATATATTGAACGATTCAATTTTATCGAATGATGATTTCCCAATTTCTCTCCCCCCAGAAAAAAAGAGAATCTTCTTTAAAACTCAATCAAAATCACTTACATGATGATCATTTCCGGTGGGTCCAGAAAGTTCGGTGAAAAATGGATGTTCCAATAATTCGACCATAAACGGGCGATTGTCTGGGTTTTTCTCCAAACATTCGGCAATAAAATCGTTATAATTCTGCGACCAATTGGCTGGCCGATAAAGGGTTGGTGGTGGATTTCTCACGATCTGAAACATGGCACGCGTTGGATGCATATCCAAAAATGGAGCTGCACCATCGCCAAGTTCAATAGCCGTAATGCCCAAAGCCCAGACATCCACACGACTGCCGTACAATTCATCGTTTTTCTTCGATGGCGTTCCAAACATTTCCGGAGCCATCCAGCAAGGCGATCCAATGCACGTGCTTCGCTTTCCAAAAGTGTTGTGTGTACTTTTTGTCAGCCCAAAATCGCACAATTTCACTTCTCCATCTACGGTCAGTAAAATATTGCTGCCTCGAACGTCGCGGTGCACAAAATAATTTTTGTGCATTTTCACCAGTCCTTTAGCTGCTTCTCTCAAAATGTATGCAATATGCTCTTCGGATAATCGCCGATTAACCGATTGCAGACGTTTTACAAAGTCGATAATGGAACCACCTTCGCAATACTGAAAAATTTAACCACTTAGCAACTTCATTACATTTGAACACGAATAACTTTTGTGTCTGGTTATATGCAAATCTTGTCTCGTTATATAACGAATCAGAGCCTGATTATTAGGCAAGCGACAGCAATCAAAACTCACCTGCAACGCAAACCATATTTCATCGGATCCATTTTTAATACGTTTACGATACACGCCATAAAAGTCCAAAAAGTTGGGATGTTCGGAAAAATCGCGTAAAATACGGTACTCATCATCAATGATATGCCTTTTGTCATTCTCATACGGTTGAATTTTAATAGCAACCGTTCTACCATTCGCTTCTCTATCGATGGCCTTGTAAACCTTTTTTTGTTGGAGTGTCATTTGGATTTGTGTGAGTAATTACATTTGTCGAGCCGAGATGAATTGAAATAAAAGTTTAGATTAGGTTTTATGCTTACTTTTGCCCAAACTCCGGTAGCAATCTCATCACCCAAATCGAATCGATATGTCGGGTCTGGTAATGAATCCACTTTTAGATGTAACATTTTGGCGCAGTAATTGACAACGCACTCAACGAAATTTTATTAAACGTTTTTCTTTTGTACTTCCCCAATATGAAGTCTCACCTATTTTGTCACGTGAACGAATTTATGATTGTGTTAGTACCTACAGTCAATGTTATTTCGAAATAAACAGCAAAAAAGCAAGAAAAACAGACACAAATCCACTTAAAGCCAAATAGAAGAAAATTTCATATGGAAACCATATCTGTAGGATTTAAACAACATTTCCATGACTTGTTTTTGTTGCACAAACACACGTTTGCAATTAAATTAATGGAACAACTGAAAACGATATCTTTTCATCGAAAGATATTTTCTATTTCACATTATGAGTTTGAATCCGTGTTTTGAGTTTTATGTTGTGTATTTTGAGCTCAATTATTATTAATATTATTCCATTGAGAAACTAGATCCATCTGACAGTAAATTCATAAAATTTCCCGGAAAAGTGTGCCTGATAACTCTTTGAAATATTCCTCAACTTGACAGTAACACAAGATGCATTTGGCAGAATATTTCGTGCCACAATGAAATGTTGAAAGAAACTTATGCTGCTGCATTCAAACCTCACTATGTTTTTTAGCTTTTGAGTAAATTATTTTTCGTTGAAACGAAAACTGAATTATGATTATTGTACAAAAGCTTCAAAAGATGTACGATTTTACTTGAATTTCACCGAAAAAAAAAATGATTGAAACTAAAACTGCACGGGAAATTCTCCTCCGCTTTTGAACTCTCACAGTAAAGTAAAATTGAAGTCAACTCGAAACCAGGTCTACAATCCGACTGAAATGTTGATGGGATTTACGCGAATAGCTAGGCAATATGGGAATTTTGAACGTATTCATAAAATGTGAATTTCTTGCTTTTCGTTGTATGTTAAGTATGTCAGACGAAGCCATACAACTGGATTTGTACGGTAATAATACGGTTTCACGTGCATCGTTCCGAGCGATTTTCAGCCCGTATGGTTGTTGTATGAAGAAAATTCTGTGCATTAAATAATACTTACCTTGAACACGTGTGTCTGTGTGGTTGCAAATGATCGAAGAAGAGACGGCAAAAGACAAAAATCGAAAGAGATTTCGAAACTGAAGGAAAAGCCGAATGAAAAGCTACAAATCACCAAAGCCAAATGCATTTAAGTGGGGGAGGAGGAAAATCGATTGAAAAATCAAAACACTGCTTCGTATTTCCATTTAACGTTTTTACTTTATTTTTGTTGTTGTTGTTGTTGTTTCAGTTTATTTTTCCTTAATTATTTTCTCAGTTTTCTTAATTTCTTACATCGTTTTCATTTCTTTTCTTCATTTTATTTAAATTAATATATAATAAAAATTACAATGTATGTGGTTTATCTTTGCATATTTAGCGCATAAACACAAAGAGTAGTTGAAACGGAACAATGAATTTGCGTGTGTGTGTTTATGCTTGATGACAACTGCTCTTTTCTTTCAAGTTTCTGCTGTTTCTATTCGGTTGAATGATAGTTCTTTTGGTTATTTATTTTATACAATGCTCTTGAAATGAATAAACGATTGTTTTTTGCTATCGTTTCCAATGAAAAAAAAACCGAAAGGAAATAAATGTATGAACGAAAATTGCAATTATATATTTTGTCTTAACGAAAAACTAAAATATACAAAATAAAATCACAGGTAACACATACTATAACTTAATTGCATTTTGGGAGAAACGAATCTAAAACTGAAGAAATTCGTACGTATACCGAAAGAAATATACAAATGACACGTATAAATTGCTCGCGCGGACGCAAATTAAAATGTGTTTGTGACATTCGACTGAAAACTAACCAAAATTGAATTTCCTTTACTTTAAGATGTGCTTTGGAAAAATGCGTGTGTGTGTTCACTAAACAGTTGATCATTTTTCATAAGTGAGAATGACACCGATGACTAAACTTTTCGTTGGCTTCAAACTCGATTTCTTTTAGTAGACATTTCCTATCATCTTTCATTAAAATCTTTTTTTAAAAAATGCAGCCATCCTAACAATAAACCGATAGAAATCAACCAGTTGTGTTGATTTTTCCTTTAAATTTGCAAAGTATAACGGTTTGATTTGCAATTTTGCCCACTTTTGTGACAAGATAGATTTTTTTTTCGAAAGAAAAAAAAAGAAGATTTTTATGTAGCTTATTCTGATCTTAAACTAAAGATTACTACACACAATAATTTGTTTGTCGCAAAATACACTAAATAATTTTGTTTGTCTTTATGTTTCTTCATTATTTTCTCTTAATCATTTTTGATTTGAAACTCATTTCTATGGTCTTTATCTGACAGAGAGCCAATGGAAAGAAAAAATGTGTACTCGAAACAAATTACAACTAACGCGGCTGATTCATTTTCACTGTAAGATTTTCGATGTAATTTATACATTTGTTGCAAAACGAAACAATACAAACAAATCTAATCTAATTGAAAAAATTGTTACAAAAAATTACGATTTAAAAAATTCACCTTTTTTTGTTGTTTTACATATTAAAAATTAATGATGATAAAATAAAAAAACCATCAAAAATGCTTTGGTATTCATTGAGGGGAAAAAAGGGCTGGAGATGAAAGGACAACTGACCATATTTTTTTCGTGCAAATAAAAACAACAACTCATGAATTGATCCTAAACTTAAATTGAGCATTTCTTTTGATAATTTTTTTCCGTCGTCTTCATGAACTATCTGTTTTTTTTCTGCTTATGTCGTCCGTCAAAATGGATTTGTGCAATTGGAAAATGTTGAAAAGTGACTTTTCACTGAATAGACACGAGGAATGATGCAGTCTAGCTTGTATTCGTTTTGGTTGTTATGCACAAAACTTTTTGTGCACAAAATCCAAATCGCTCCGTCGCCAGCGCCCCTAACACACACACAGGAAATGAGCTCTCCAGGGCGGAAGGGACGCACAGGGCATTTTGTCGTTGTCTGCGCGCATTGTCTACAGGAAAATTGAATGCATGTTTTGTGTTTATAAATAGATGAAATTGTTGCTACATGAAATTGTTGGTTTTAAATATGATAAATGCAATTATTTTTCGTTTCGTCGTAAGAAGTGTAAAAACTAACTTTTTTTTCTGTAATCTGGTTGTTGTTCCTAAACTGCATTTTTTTTCTGAGTGTAATTTAACTACGTTTTGCAAATTGTGGCATTTCTAGTTGCAAGTTTTATCTATTCCATTCAAAATGCATCTTCCCTCTAAAACTGGCCGATTAATTATTTTCATGACAATGTGTTCCGAAAAACAAATTCATTTCCATTCATAAACATATACCGTTTTAATGTATGTTGTCATATCCATTGTATTAATTTAATAATGATTGGTTTGCACGTTATTTTCATTCTAATTTTATGGGTGTCTTAGCAGTGTCCAGTCCATCAAATGTGCACACTCGAATACCGAGCGTACATCTTATTCGGTGACATCATTGTTTTTTTTTTACATTTTATTCTCACGTCAATATGCATTTGGTTTAACATACGTCATTATTTCATTTTATTCAAGTGCCTCTAAATAACATTCCTTAAAATGTATTATTTAAATATAATTTTCATATATGTTTTTTTATTTATTTATTTATTTTTTTGTTTGTTTTATTTATTTACTCTGAGGATTAATTTTATAATAGCGAGATTTTACTTAATAATCATTAAATCTGCTTGGTTGTTTTTGGTTTTGATTGGATTATAATGAAGATGAGGATTTTGAATTGACGCGTTCGCTACGATCTCATTTCATTCGTGTTTTTTTATAGGGATGAGTCCAGTTGACTCAGTCAACCAATAAATATGTCGCTGGTCATGGGTGAGTCAGCCAAAATGTGTGATTTATTTGATGTGAAACGTAATTAAAAGTGTGTTTCGCGATGATTTGTGTGCAAATGGAAGATCAATTCTATTTTTTCATACAAACAGAAAGAAAATGAGGGCAATTGCAAATGAGCTTTTGAACACGGTTTTGACGTTTGTGAATCTCGTGACTGAACAAAAAGTGGATTATTATTTGCGTAATGAGACTTGTGCTAGCCTTGACTATATTAGCAACGCGGTGTTGAACAACAGTAACATGTTCAACTTCACCGTTTTTACTAGATTTCTTTTCGTTTGTCGCTCTTTTTTTATCCCTCTTTTCAACATATCGTTTCTTAACTTTAATAGTCTTTTTTTTACGCGGCGCCTAGCATAAACCTGTCTAATTGTTTTCTACATAGGACACATACAGAACAGCGTCGAGTGGCTGCTAAAACAAATCATTTATGAATTAAGTAATGTGTGTCGGTGTGGGTGTGGGTATGGTGAATGATGATTTCTTTGTCATATTTTCAAAGTCATTTGACCCAAATGACAAAACTTCTTGGCCATCAGTTGTCAATTAAAAACCATTGATGGGCATGAACGAAATTGTCTAATGTTGGTATTTTGGATTGATTGGATGACAAAGGGGTGCGATTACAATATACGTTTTACTAGGTGGAATTAACAATAACGGCGAAACAGAATACGATTGACAAAACAAAAATGAGTCATATGAAAATGCTTGACGTACGATGATGATGTAGACCGAATGATAACATTCGACCAAAATTAATGTGAATGTCTAAATTTTAATTTCTCTTTACCTTGATTATCATATACTATTTACAATTTACCAGATAACATTTAAATGTTAGGCAAAAAATGAATTCCCCTTTACTATCTCATCATGTATGTAATTGGATCATTGCTGTTCATCTTCTGAATTGAACGCGTGTGATAATCGTGCGATAAGCATTTCATTTTGGGATTCTTTTTCTCTTTAAATGCGTGTGTGGGTGTTTTCTCTTTATTTTCTAATTGAATGATACTTTTTTGTTTATTTAGTTTATGAATATGGCCCAATTCTTCGCTCGAACACAGACTAATTCTCCCTATAAACCAATTTGATTATTTCTTTTTTTGTTTCCTTCATAAAATGTTCCACATACTTAAAATACGTACATAAAACGATTGATGTTTTTACTTTTTTTGGTGACACATCTTAATTTCTTAATTTTTTTGTAAAATTTTACGTTTTTTTCTGCTTGAGTATTTCCTAATCACTCACATTTGGAATTCGGCTAAATACTTGATTTAAATCGAAATGAATTTGGTTTCAGCTCAAAAAAAAATGGTTTTTCTCTTAATTTTTAGTTTCTTTTCACTTGACATTTAAGATTCTTGATCTAGGGCCATGCGGTCCGTAGTGATTTCACACTCAACAAATGATTCGAAATGGGTTGTGAGTGTAACACATGAGATTCGGATGAATTTTTTTGTTGTTACGATACAATTTAAAAAAAAAAATGAGATGTTCGCTTTGAAAAATGAGATATTTTTGTAGTTGTTGTTGATGTTGTTCATAAAAAAACGCATCAAAATCATCGCAAAATCCGTCGGTTTGTACTTTTTTTTTTGTATATAAGAGAAGAAAAAAAAACGAAACATCACACGTATGATCTGTTAAAGAGTAAACGGTTTATAAAAAATGGTGCCGATATATTCGGTGTTTGTGTGTTAAAAATTCCGTCTATCGTTAAATGAACTATGAATTGAAAACGGAATTGTATGTCGTCATCAAAATGATGAACATGAAGAAACACGGGTCATAAAATGTCTTTTTTGTATATGGCTGTTTCGTTCAATATTTTTCTGTAACAGGTGAAAATATATAGTGTCTGCATTTGTATTATCCATTTCTCTCTAAATTCTACCATATTTAATTTGTTGTTGTGTTACGTCTATGATCATCGAATTGTTATTGTTTTTAAATATGCTTGAATAAAAATGATTCGCTTCAATCATTTTGTGTTTGGTTTCTATGTCGTCGTCTTTTGCTTATCGTATAAGTGTTTTTTTCTTCTTCTTTAATTACAAAACAAAAATTGTAGTTTTTCGAATAAATGTTATTGTGAATTGTTGTTGTTAGTGCCGTGTGAATGACGTAGTTTTATAGTTATAAATGACAGAAGAATTAATATTAAAACAATTATTGTTGTGGAATTGTTTGCTTGCTTTTCTTTTTTTCTTCATTTTTCGCTTTGGAATTGATCTCAACTATATTGTTCGTTTCTAACTTCTTACAAAATGTGTCCAGTTGTTGGTAGCTTCTTTTTTGCTTCATTTCGTCGATTTCGCTTGTTGTTGTTGCTGTGGTTTTTTTTCGATGATGGTTCAGTCCTCTTTTATGACACATATGCAAACTTACGTTGCATCTCATCACTTTATCTCTCTTTTAAATAAATACTTATGCGGTATAGTGTGTTGATCTTTGGAAATTTATAGTTCATCTAGTTCAGGTATTGTTGCACCTATGTCAGTTCGTTGGCCGTACATTGTTGACAATTTATCGAAGCGAGGACCCCAAGCGCCAAGGCAATCATACTCTTGATCCTCATCATCGGTACCTGCATTGATTAATAAAGAAACACAAGAGTTTTTCATTCAGTTTTACATTCAATTTTTTTGTCATTTGATTGAACAGAATTTCATTTTTTTCGACATCCATTTTTCTACGACAATTTTGCAAGAAATCTGCATTTTTTTAATTTTTTTTTTAAAGTTGCCTTTTCCAGAATTATTTTTTTAAATTAAAATTTTCCCTTTTTGGACGAATTTTTGTTTATTTTGCATCCAATTTTCGTCTATTTCAAACTATGTGCTTGCTCACCTGATGCTAATGAACTGAGTGAACCGGCAGTGCTGCCGCCTCCTTCATAGGCATAATTCCTTAAGTCATCGAATGGCGGTGCATTTGGATCGGCATCGGCTCGTTTCTTGTGCTCATCGATAAACATTCCAACGTTTGGTTCTTGGTTCGGACCCAATGTCATTACCGGATCTGAAAAAAACGATTCGATCAAAATGAAGGAAGATTTTAATTAGAATTTTAAAAAAAGTTGATTTAATTAAAATGGAAAAAAGTTGGCTTTCTATTGATTCATTTAACCCAATATTTACCAAGTGTTTGGAAAATGGGAAAATCGAACGCTTGGCAAAGAATGGGAAAATATTGAGTTTTGATTCGATTATTTGATATTGAATTAGAACGAATATGAATATCAATAAACATAAATCAATTGGCTTATATCGGAATATTCAATATTTCTTAAAGTTTTTTTAATATGTTCGTCGTGCTGTAAAGTTGAGCTCAACGAGTACTGAAAATTAATTTTTGTGTGAAAACTTCATATATTGCAGAAAATATTTCTCTCGTTAAATTACTATTCTTCCATATTACTTAACTTGTTTATTTGATTTGATTTGATAAAACTGGTAGTTGTAAGTAGTTGGGTACTTGTGTTGCATTTAATTGGATTACGAAGAAATGTTGAAAATACTGAAGTAAAATGTTATACTTACACATAATGGGCATTTTGCAGTTGGCCAATTCGGGCATGGGGCCACCGATTGGGATTTGCAGTGGTGTGATATCAAAAGCGGTCATATCATCTTCGCCGCCACCCTCATCATCATAATTGATGATGTTCTCTCTCACATCATCATCGGGGCCCGGATACTTGATGTGCGCCTCACGTCGTCGACTGTACACAACGAATATCAGCACAAGGACTAAGCGAAACAAAAAAGTATAAATTAATAACCATTTTCTCAACTTGCCAGCAACGAAACGAAAGAAAAAGAAGAATTTTCCATCCGTTTGTCAATTGAATTGGAACATACAAAATGAATTCTCGTTTTAACTTGTACTTCCTCATGTGGGAATGGCGAACTTTTCCAATTTTCTCGCAACTATACGAAACAATTATATTTCCATTGCATTCAATTGACCAACGGTTTTTCCGTTTTATGATAAAGTGACTCTTGTGTTGCACTACTAATTGTGGATTGTGTACGTGCAGAGATCGAATCGTGCAAAATGGGACAAAAGGGAAATCTACATTCACTATGTATGTATATATGAACTAGTTGTTGACATGACATTTAAACAGGCCAAAACAGTTATTGTACAACTGTAATTTGGAAGAAAAAAGAAGTTCAACTATATCGAAATGAATTTATTGAAATCCAAAAATGACCGAAACATTTAAAATGACCTCATTTAGGTTTATCCGAAAAAATGTTGTTGACACATCGTCGACTTGTTCGTTGTCTAACTTAACAAATTGATAAAGATATTCAACTACTTACATATTAGTGTACTAGCACAAATAATAATTGCAATAATGAAATCTCTGGATGGTGTTAGAACACCAGATGCCAATAGTTCCAATTCACAATTCATGCCTGTGTAACCGAATGGACAATCGCATTCATATTTCCGTGGTGGTTGTAAATCCGTGCAGATACCACCATTTTGACAAGGCCGCCACAAGCACTCGTTTTCGTTAATGCATTGCGTACCGGACATTTTAAAACCAGCTGGGCAACTAAAGATCGAATCGATTTTTTGTTTGGTTTAATAAAACAAATTATATCAAACTGAAAATGTATTCGTAAATATAGAACAGAAAAATCGTTTGCCAAGAACGAATATGGCGAACGAAAAGAACAAAACAAAAACAGAGAGACAAACACAAAATAAAACCATAAACAGAAATAAATATAATGAAATAACCCATCTTTTTGTAGAAGCAGTTTGTTTTTATTCGTTGGAAAACGACGAGTTGTTGCCGAATAAATGAGATCCGGAGTGAGAGTCATTATTGCGATTGTGTCGTGTTGAAATGACAATCTTTTTTTTTCGGCTCAAGATTTATAGCCGCTACTCGCGAATTTTATTTTCATCGAATGTTTTCGGTTGGTATATGTACGTGTTTTGTTTGGTGCTATTTCTTGTTTTATACATGTGCAGTTTGTGTGTAATTAAACAAACTCTCCACCAACGTGCTTGAATATCGCTTGCAATTACTTTTACCATACGAAAATTTACTACACTACGTTTCTATTTTGTGTCGGGACAACCGAAAAAAAAGCAACTACTTTTATAAAATGATACACAGATGCAACTACTACACAACAGAATAAATAAAAATACGAAGAAACATGTGAACATCGAGAGAGAAGAGAGAGACAGCAAAGTGCGCCTTACAACAAATCACACCGAATTTGCGTGGCGCGCATAAATTTCCATTTCCAAAATGGTGTATGTCGCTTGCAGAAAATCTTCTTCAGAAGATTAAAACTTTTTGAGAACGAAAAACAGCATGCAATTTGTTGATATAATTATTATTATCGAACTGAGAGACAGGGCGACACAGAGGAGAAAATAAAATATAAATCGTTGAAATTCTGCATTAAATAACTTGCTCTTGGAAATTCATTTCGTAGAATTTCGTTGGAAAATTGCGGAGTATGGAAAAAAACGATGGCAAATTATGCCGCTAGCATAGTATGAATTCTTGATGATTTCGAGGAATTTGCAACTATTTTGAGGGAATATCGTGGTTAAAACTATAAAGTATGTTTGAAAATGTATGAAAAAACGGTAAATTTTCCTCTCGAGCGTTGACTTTTCCAACGACTAACCAACCAATTATCGTGAATATGTAATAATAACTTGAGATCTAAATGTTATAGAACAATTGAAACCGAAGTATGAACACAGTTTTCTGACAGCTTAAACCATAATTCATGCCTGAGATGATTTCTGCCATCAAACTAATGAAATTATCGGTAGAAATTCTCTTGTGGCTAAGGTATTTTGCTTCTTGCGGTAACACGCTTTTCGTAGTACTTTATTGAATTACCGTGATTTTTTTTACTGCTATGAACTCACTTTATATGGTCAAAGCTGTGTATAAATTCATTGAATGAACTCTCTATTTAAAATTAATAGCAAAGTTAAACAACATGCGGCTTTATTCAAAACCGAAGCTTTGTTCGAAGGACTTTGACTCAATAAAAAATGTTTCAAATCATTTTTTGCTTATTGAAAAAAATCGTTTTTATTTTATTTCAGAAATATCACGTTCGTTGAATCGATTCTTGTGTTTGAATCTGATGTGAATTCAATGTGAAATTAGTTGATTCGAATGGAGAATAAATCTGCTGATAATGCCAATCATCAGATAAAGGAATGCTATTACGAAGTAGTGGATAGTTCTGTTGAAAGATCCGGATTGATTGCATCCCGAGTCCAAGTGGTCGTGTTGTCCATGCCATAGACTAAACCTAAATAAATGAGTCATTGCATTCCGCCCGACGACGTCGCAAAAGGAAGAGAGAAAACATAATAAATTGATAGTTGATGTTTTCGCATTTTGTGAATGTTCATTCATTTTGGCTGGCGAAATGAAGAAGTATGGATTGTATGTGGCACAGCCATTTTGTGGAAATATTAGAAAATGCACTTCATGCTTGAGATGTGTTTACTTTCCGAGTTGAGTTTGCGAATGCATTGTGCAGTTTTAGTATCTCGTTTTCATGCGGTTTTATTTGTTCTCTCGAACATGCGACAACAACACAAATGGACGTTGGTCGGTTGGTTAGAATCAAATTGTGATGAAAATTATTGCCGTGCTGTTATTCGTTGCCAAATGGCAGTTGCTCGTTATATTCACGATAAATCGATTACAATCTCGCTCTTCGCCCGTGGAGAGAGAATTTAATTGATTACTGCGAACGCTCATTATCGAGATATATCCATTAAAGCATGCATCATATCACCCTGGATCGTGCTGTGCGTATGTGCACCAAATGCAAGATTCAATGAAAGACAGAGAAAACAAATGAGAGTGAAATGAACGAAAAAAAAACACAGAGAAAAGAATGTTCATGATGATGAAGTGGTTGTGAACTGAAAAATGATGTACGATGGATAATAAATGCAATTAAGGGAAAAACTACTTCAGAGTCATTGCTGTATTAGATGCTGACATAGATATAACGTTCAAGTAATTTATGTATATGTATATGTATATGTGGTGTATGATACAGTTCGAGTCATTTGGACACTTATTACAGATAGAGATATGGATGCATTCTAACGATTAAATGTACATGGGCAACGGAAAATCTATGTATAAATGAGATAGAGAATGGTTTTTTTTCACTTGGGGTTTGCTCACTTAAAATGATCAGAAGACAGACAAGGATAGCCGCCAGAGCGCCCATGCTCAGTTTTAGCGTTTGACCTTCTTGGATCAATTCACAATTTTCACCCCAGAAACCGTCGAGGCAAACGCAACGATAACGGAATTTCGGTTCCAAATTGATACACGACGCTCCATTCAAGCATGGTAAATCCAAGCATTCGTTTCGATCCATGCATCCTTTTTGATCCGTTGACATAATACGACCCTCGCCACAACTGAACAGTTCAGCAGATTTTTTATTTTTCGATCGGTATCGGTCGTAATTCGTGTGTCATTCAAGCATTAACCAAATTTGTTTCAATTTTATCGAAAGGCAGCACAAATTTTTTTTAGATAGAGAGAAAATACGGAATACATTTAATTTTGTTTTTTTTTCGTTTGTTTTTGTAAATATTAATCAATGGGTTGAAACCATAAATTGCTTTTAATAGATTAACAAAAAAAATAAATTGATTCGTTTGATTTTTTTTTTTTGAAATTCATGAAAAAGCACCCCAAAAATGAATCCTTTCTTTAATTTATTGGGTTACATGTGGTCAATTTTAAAAGCCGTAAACGGTGACTTTCTCATTCAATTATTTCGCTTTCATATGCAAATCGTTGATTGTTCGAGTTTATCTTTGTCTGTAGCTTCACACAGAAAGCACCGGATAAAGCGAAAATGATGTTTTTTTGTATGGATATGAATGTATGTGATGTGTATGTATGTAACTCTCTATGAACCATAACCAAAATAAAAATCCGAGTAAACTATTTTGATTGTATTTTGCATTTTAATACACGCGATTGTCAATCTAGCGATGCGAACCAGTTCTCTTGCGCCAAATTACCCACCAACAAAAGGAATCGTTCTCTTTTTTTCTCGGCTCGCTTTTTTCCCCGAGCATTTTCATCGCTTTTTTTTAATGGAGAATTGCATTGTTTCTCAATTTAACATTGGAAAATTGGTTAAAACGACCAGATTTGTTGATGTGCAATTTATAAATGGCAGAGAAAATTGCCGACAACTGAATTTTCTGTCTGTATGTGTGATTTTGTGTGTATATGTGTGAATGGAGGATGTGTTTCTGCACATTGACAAAAGAAAAAAAAAACTAAAAAATTGTTCATGAGAGGCAAAAAAGCACCATCAGTTCGCAGTTCATGTTGATACTTTGAATGAATCAACACAAAAAAATATGGGAGTCACTCTCTCATAAAAAAGCGGAACAATATCAACCACCAACACTAGCCGCCTCAGACACACATAAAAAACACTCTAGTGTATAAAAACCGCCACACGCAAATTACTGCTTCGAATACTTTTTTTGATTGAGTTGTTTTGTGTGTTGTAGTTTTTTTTACTCTCGTAGTTTTTGTTTTTTCATTCGATGGTGATTTCCATGTGGGAAACGAAATTGCGTTATAAACTCGATGGGAAAAAAATCAGTCACACTGTCAAAGCCGCACACAAATAAACTGCAATAAATTATAAAAACCACACGGCACTAATATCGAATCAAATAATGTTTGAAAGCTCAAAAACAGTTGAAACTGAGCGAGCGAAACTAAAAAAAAATCCGCACAAAAAGTGAAAAGCAACCGAAAAAAAGCGCAACGAAACGAACAAATGGTAAATGAACAAACAATCGCAGAGCACAGGTTGTGTGCGAAAACAAAGAAACAAACACGAATCGAAAATATATAAACGAAATTCATGCAAAATCACACAGAATAAAAGCAAAAAAAAAAACAAGATTAAAACAAAGAGAGAATGAAAAAAAAGCGACAAAAACAAACACAAACGAAAAATACTGAAATTACAGCGTGTTCAATCCGAAAAAACAGTTCATAAACTGACATTTGATATGCACTGATGACATGTTTGGCTTTGATATGCACCGACGGTCATTTTTCAAATCAACCCTTTCCAATGAATATCATTGAACAAAAACGAATCGTTCGAATTATTTATTTAATTCTTTCTCCTGACCAAAGGGAAATTAATGAAGAAGATTCAACATTCTTTGGTCATTGTGAAGTTAATGAAGCAAGCTTTGATATACCCAACGAATATACGTTGTAATTTTTGATTGAAAAAAAAATCGCTTTGAGAAAATTAAAAATGGAAAATAAATGTAATCATTGTGGCAATGGCATTCACTGGAGTTGCTTCATCGGAATGAAACCATATCGAATTAAAATCAGATTAAATTCCCATAGAAATGTTATTTAATTCAAAGATATGTACGTTACTTAGGTGAAATAGAAAACTCGAAGCGATTCGAGTGAAATTTGCTGCTTGAATTCATACGAAATCAATTTTACTCCTCTCTATCAATCATTTCATCAAAATAACTCACAGAAATCAATTCATTAAATTTTCCGTTTCAATATGTTTTTGTGTAAATTTTTAAATTGTGTTATGTGCCTCCGTACACAGTTAATATTTGATGTTATTTCATTGCATTTTTATTGGTAAATAGTTAGTTTAATTTAAATGTCTGTATGAAATTGAACAAACAAAACAATCGAAAAAAACACAATGATATTTGCGGTTTGGTATTTTGGTTCAGTAAATATTGCGTTGATTTTGATGAGATACTGCTTATTTCCCGCGCATATTTCATTATTATTTATAATATATTTTATTTCTGCGTTTGGGTTAAAAATGCAATTTTTTGTGAATGGCCAAAAAAATGTTTGCCTTTTTTTGTTCCATTGAAAAATTCATAATAAAATTGATTCACTTACGTGCACTCATATTCATTCCACAAATCGATACATTCGAATGGGTCCGGGCAAATAACATTCGAACATGGTTTATTTGATGGGCAATTACGTTCGAGATTGCGTGCCATTGTTGCTTGACCCCATTGAGTGCCATTCATTGCAGGTGGCAGTGGTAAATGTTTACCTTCCAATCTGGAACAGAAAACAAATTTGATGATTTAACATTTACATTCCAATTAATCAAAGGATTATTAAATATTTGTTATAGATTTACATTTACAATGAAAATGAAACGAAAACAGTGTTTTCCATTAAAAAAAAAAGTTATTCACCTGATATCATCCAAGCAGCTCTTTTGATAATCGGCATACACTTCGAATGTGCGAACGCCAGTGTATTCAGCTTTGCCACCAGCATAAACGCCTTCTTGTTTGTCAACAAAAAGCCATTGATGCCCATCGAATTCGAATGTTTCATTGTATCGTCGTCCTTCGCCACCGTCAAGTTCGAGCATTGCAGCCGATCCATATCGATTCACACGCACCGTATGCCATTGACCGTCGTCCACCAGAATTGCATTGAGCCACAAGTCTTTCTCTTCCGTTCGTAACGAATTCAAATTGTATCGGAAATGCAGACGAGCATCTTTAATTTCCAAAATGCCATACTCTCGATTGTGTTGATCGCTAACACGGAACAATTCACCATGTTGTTCTCGGGTACGGAACCGCAGTTGAATTTGTGTATTAAATCGATCGGGTTCGAAGCTCAGGGCATATTTTACATAACTTTGTTGTTTAAATGTGGTCGGAATGGTTGGAATATTACATGATGGTCCAGTCCATCCGGGTCGGCATTGACAGCGTGCTTCACTGAAACTGCCAACGCAATTTCCGTGCTCCCAGCATCGTGCCGTTTGTTCGCTTTGACTGCAAACATCTTCGGTTTGCGGACAACCGGCAACACTATTCCTCGACAATCCTGGATGCGCTAAATCATACAGTCTACTGTTGTGCATCAAATTACGAATGCAACCATCGAAACCTTTGCCAGTCGGCATATAATGCCATAGATACAATTGTGGATCGAATTGTTCGCGATACAAGCCGCCAATCTGTAGCGGTGCATTCACATTGAGATACTCATTGAACGGTGGTATTGTGCCACGCGCTTGACACGATGAATCGTCGAATTCGGGCGGTGAACCGTCTTCCATTTCCGACACTTCAGCCGATTTACAATAATCGACAACCATACGAACGGTTTCAGTATCCCAGAATATATCCAATCGATGCCATTCACCATCGTCCAATGTTTTCTTTGTTTTCACTTTGAGCTCGAGTGTGCCCGATCCAAAGTCAATCAATAATCTCGGATAACCGCGTTCCATTTCCACAGAAATGAAATCTGAAACGAGCAATTCATCGCGTTCGGGCGGCACAATTGGCCCGTTGTAAATCAATAAACCTTCCGATTTGCGTGTGATAAATTCAAAGCTCAAATGAGAGTGATCGCACATTTCAAGCGGTGGATACCATGCCCAACCCGTTCCACGGAAGCTACGTGTTGTTTGTTGGCACCGTGGACCCGTATAACCAGCCGGGCACGAACATGTCGGACCATATCTTGTTTCCACACATCGACCGCCATTGTAACACAAATTATTTCGACATGATTCCGTTTTGCTAAAGTTTCTTGCACCGCACGTACATTCGGCCAGAACATCAACGCGCACACCAACCAAAGCCGTTTTGTTTGCATTCACCATGTATGGCAGTGAACTGATATCGAGTGTGTTTGTGCATGAACCCTCACACATTTGATTCTCATACAAACATTCATCGATGCTAACCATTGTAATGTTGATACCGACATCCTTTTCAATCTCTTCGCGATGCATCAACACAATGCCATTCAATCGGACCGGTTTATAGTATGGTGAACCATGTGCTGAAAATCGAACGTCAGTCAGAGGTGGATGCTTTCTACGCAATTGCACACTAAACACATCAACATTTTCACGCTCGGTATTCAACAAATCCGCTAATTTATCTTTGAAACGATCTAATTTACTTCGCGATAAACTTTGTGCCCGATAATTCCATACACGAATGAAATCCTCATCGGTAATACCGGCAATTCGAATCGAACCCGAATTTACAACCGCCTCGTGTGGTATTTCACGTACGGTTACCGTTACATTTGCCGCAACATCCGTTTGTGTGTGCTTTCGATCGTAAACTTTAAATTTCAAATTGTACGTTCCTTCGCGCGTGCCTTGTTTCATTGTTATCATTCCGGTGTCTTCGTCTAATTTAAATCGCATATGCTCTTGTGTTTCCCAATAGAATTTCTTGTCTGGCAAATCCCAATCGTCCAAATCGTACACATAAACCCGACCGATTTGTGTGTCCGGCGCTTGCCCTTGATAGTTGTACACGAATATATCCTTTGAACCGGGCTGCATTTTGTTATCGTTTACATCACCTATAATCACAGTCAACGTACTGGTACCAGTCATTGCCGGCGTTCCATGATCTTTGATTACAATCGGAATCAAGTATTCTTTTTGCTGTTCACGGTCGAATGAACGCAACGATGATACAATTGCCATACCATCACCGTTTGCACCCTCTGTGAAAAGAGAAAATGAGGCATTGCTTAGAATTTATTTGCTTTCAAACATTTCGAAGAAAAAACCTAACCGAATGTTCGTTCTAAATTGTAAAAAAAAGTTTAAAAATAAAAATTCTCAGAAATTTAACATTGTTCTACTTTCAAAAGAGTTCCGTGAAATAAGACTACCGATAGAAATATTGGGTATAGTGTAAAGGGAAGAATGAATCAGAGAGAAAAAAAAATGTAAATTCTTCATAAATAAAAATGAAATGTCCCACTTACTTTGATCTTGTTCAACTTTGAATGAAGCTCGAATGATATCATCCGCACCCGGGTCTAAACGGAATTGGAATGGTGGTCCATTGCTCTTCGAACGGTCGTCATCGTCGGTGGCTAAAATTTCGACAACTTTACGTGGTGGCACGTGTTCGGGCAATACAGGTCGATAGTCTTTCAGGAATTTAGGGGCGTTATCGTTAATATCTTGAACAATCACAGTAAGTGTGGCAGTGGCCGTTTTTGGTGGAATACCATCGTCAATTGCCAAAATTTTGACTTGATGCCGTGGCGTAACTTCGCGATCCAATGACCGTTGAATTTTAACAACACCGTCTTGATTAATTGAAAATTGTCGCTGTCGATCCGATGTGCGGTCAATTGCATACGATACTTTGCTCTTTCCACCTTGATCCGGGTCATTTGCAACGAATTTCTCAAGTACTTTACCAACTTCTGTATTTTCATACACTTGCACCTCGATATTGGCACGGTCATAAACCGGTTTATTATCGTTGATATCTCTCAATTTGACAACGACCCACGAATATGCCACGTGATATTTATCATTATCATTGTCTTCGCCTTTGTCATTGACCTGAATACGGAATCGGAAACCGTTGCTTTGCAGTTGATCCTCGTAGTCGAGCGGTTGTACAATTTTCAAGCTGCCCGTTCCGTCGTTGTTGCGCACCATTGTGAATTTATCCGCACCATAACCGCTATTGTCAATCACTTTATACTGGAATTTGTTTGTTTCGTCTTCATCGTGCACGGTGACCGTGAGAATGGGCATTTCCGGCAGATTTGTGCCATCCGTTTCATCGACCTCCGTGAACCATTCGTCCTTCGTAAACTGTGGCGGCATATCGTTTATATCTTTCACACGTATCGAGGCCGTCCCAGTTCCTTTTAACCCTCCGCCATCCATTGCCACCACTTGTATCGAATAGTCTGGTGTTCGTTCGCGATCCAAGCAGCACACGGCCGTTTTGATAACACCGGTGTCGGGCTCAATTTCGAATATCGGCGAACCGGTCTCTTCTTCTATCACATTTTTCTCAATCGAATAGACTAATTTTGCATTTGAGCCTTCGTTCGGATCATCGTAATCGACTGCTGTCATTGTCATTACAACCATGCCAGCGGTGCCATTTTCGGTGACGTTGCCAAAGTAAACGCCTTGCGGGAATATCGGTGCATTATCGTTGATATCTTTAAGATTCACTTGAACATCGGCATATCCGACCAAACCTTCACCGCCTTCATCCTGTGCAAATACGGTGAAACGCCATTGCGGCCGACCATTCGGTTGATCTCGATCCAATGGCTAGAATAGAGAGGGGGAAAAGCGAATACAACTTGAAAATGATGTTTGACTTTGAATGGCAAATCGAATATTTAATGTAAAACCCATGTTTGTTTGCACACATCACGATTAATTTGAGTGTATGTGTTGGCATCGGGAAATGTTTGAACGGAAATTAATTTCGATGTTCGATTTGACATCCGTTGCAAATGCACTTTTCGGAATAAATGGAACATTGTTGAATCGGAAGTACGTGCGGCGAATAATAATTCGGGTGATGCTGATGGTGGCGGTAACGGTGGTCAAATGCATCTGCGAAGCAAATGACATCGCATTTACTACATTCGTACATTAAGCCATGCTGTGTGTGCGAATGCAGTTCCCACGTTAGCTAACGACGTAAATACTTTCAAGTGCCTTTCAATGCATTGCTTCTGTGTTTTTTTTCTCTCTCTCTCTCTCTCTCTCTCTCTCCATCCCGCCCAGCAAGTCGACGTGACGTTTTCCATTTGCAAAACTCATTATTTTCACTCATAGTGTGAAAGATTACATGAGCCATCAACAGTGCGGATGATGATTATTATTGTTATTATTTTAAAATACTTAAAAACGTTTCAATATTTACAGCAGTGTGTGACACACACACACACACACGTCACTCTCGTCTCGTCGCTGTCTCAGACGAAACCCATTTCGAGATTTAAATATAATTTTAATTTAATTTAATTTATTTTTGCGTGTAGCTAAATGGCGGCATCAAAACCGAAAAAAGGAGTAACATTCATTTAATCGGATTGCCAATTGCTGGTGTGTGAGAGTGTGAGTGTCAACATTCCACCCAGTTGGCAGGCAAAATGACAGCATACACGCAGTCACATTGATATAAAACGTGCGAAGCAGAGAGAAAGTCTATACGTGTCGTTTAATCGGAATAATTATGTCTCGGAATGTGATGTGATGAAAATGAATGCCATTTTCATTTTTAATTGCAGCTCAAGTGCCTGTGAAACAGCACGTGCTCTGCCGCTTGTGCGATTCTATTCATAATAATTTGGATGTGTGTGTGATAATCGGTACACAGTTAAACAAATAATAAGTGTCTCTCTTCAAAATTATCTACTGGGAATGTCGCTGTGCGTTTGCACCGATTTTTCATAATGATAGCTGTTCCTTTTTTTCAGTCGAGGGAGAGGAAAACAACTGTCCTCATTTTGAACATAATGAAGAAATTAATGTAACGATGCAATGGCAAAGAGATACGCGCACGGCTGTACATAACAGTCATCGGAAACAAAACACTCGAAAAAGGGAGCAAAACGGCGTGCACATTAAATGAAATCGAGAGAGAAAATTGAATGAAATGAAAATTTATGGAGAATATTCTGGAGTAATTAGAAAATGGAAAATTTTAATTTAATACTCCGGAGCCGCTACACACGCATACACACAGTCAAACAAGCAAAACTAGGCAAAATTTGTTGAAATGGTCTTTCGCTTTCTCGTCTCTTTTCCTCTCTTCAGCTCTTTTAATCTCCCCATATTCTCCTAGAGGAGAATAGGCATCAACTCATTCCATTCACGTGAGCCCCAGAAATAATTTACTCCACTTGTTACTTTCTATCTTTTCCGTTCAGTTGGGCGACGAAAATGCAAAATTCGATCCGTTAAATATTGAATAATTGCGAAATAGTAGCACACAATTACAGTGTTCTATACGCTTACGAATCGAAACAGCAAAGGCGTTTTTTTGGTTCGTTCCGTTTTTCGGAGATGAAAATGTAGGCTGCATGCCATGGCTTGCTATTCGGATTATTCCAATGGCTTGTTACAGTAGAAGCGTGTATTTGGCACGATTTTCCAATTGAAGCGAGGCAAATAAAGCACAACCTGCTTCCTATGTCTAGCTATTTAATTTGCGATTTACCGCTTTTAGACTAGAAGCCAGCCAGCACCATGTTAAGCATTTTTCAACTTTGTGCAACATTTTCTCGGCTGAAGTTTTTCTGCTCATTTCACCTGTGCGACTTTTTGCCCGTCCAAAAAATAACTCTGGCTCTCTCTCTCTCTCTCGCTCTCTTGCAGAGAGGATTTTGAAAAATGAACAACAGAAAGAAAAAAAAATTAGCCTGGTATATTTATCGTGCTTTTTATCTAGGCGATTTTATCCCGTGCAAATGTAACACCAATGTTTTATGTGGCTCAGCATTCCGAATATGAGAAATATTTTATAATTTTTGGTGGGAAATTTTGCACGAAAAATCATTAAATACGTCTATGTTGAGCTGAACGCAAAAAAACCCGTTAGTTAATACCGAGAGAGAAAGGGAGCGAGAGAGGGAGAGCAAATGGGCGATGAGAAAGAATTCTCGGTCGAAACATAACGAATTTCATCCAAGATGGAACAAATTGCTTTTTGAAATATTTTACAGAAAAAACCAGCAAATCACTTTTAATCGGTTTATATAACTCACATTGTTGGCGTGTTGCATTTGCGGAGCAAATGGGGCGGTCGCGTGGTTTTTTTCCGTGCGGTTCGCATGTGAAAAGTTAAACAATGTAACAAAAATGCTCTAACGTTAGAACAATACCGTAGACGCCAGACGCCTTCTTATTTTTTTTTCTCTGTGGTGCCAGCCACATTTTCATTGCAGTAGTGACGTATATGTGTGTGCAAAGCCGAAAATGCATTACATTGAGTGAAACAGAGCATCTGTTTTCATTTGAAGCTATTGGTTACATAAAACTTAAGCATTTCCGTAACGTAAAATAATCCATAAAAACCGTAGCCACCGTTTTTTCCCGCACTCCAATTATTTTTGGCGGCTATTTTTACTACAAACAATTTCTCGCCGACACACGGAAAACAATGAAAGTGAAAGTAAAATCCGGCAATTTAAGCGGATCGGATTTTTGGTTTTGCTTGCTGTAGAAAATTTTGCAAAGAATATTTAAAAAAGAGCATTGCTGATGCCATTTCCACTTGATGACTTCGCCCTCAATGGAGCTTTGACATTAAACTCGCGCTCTGCTTAAATCCCATGCGATTTTCTCACGAATGGGATTTTATGATGAATCACACATAAAAATACGATAAAATGGTCGCTTGACATTTTCCATAGCGTCCAAAATAGAACGTCAAACTTACCTTCAGCACGAAGATTTCGCCAGTTGTTCGGTTTATATCGAATTTGCTATTGGCTGGATTATCTGGATCAATACCTTGTCCGGTTAAGAAGTAGACGATGTTTTGTGGGCGATCTTTGTCTCCATCGGATGCCGTCACCTGTATTTATATTTGCGGTATGTATTTTAGAGCAGAGAAAAAAGTGATTTTGTTAATAATTTTGCTATTTTTCGATTAAGGCCAATAATTTTTCATTCAAAAGCACAAAAGCAAAGGAATAAATGAAAATTCTACTCTAAAAACGATTGGAATGAGCGATTTGTAATGTCTGAACTAAAAAAATGACAAAAGTAAAATCAATAAAAGCGTCACTCATGCAGAAACCAATACAATGTTTTTTTTACCCAGTAAATAACTACTCGAAAAACAAATATTCATGCAGAACACAATAAAATAGTAAATATAAAATGGCAATTTAGTGAGCAAACATAGAAAAAAATGTGAAATTGAAAATGGAAATGAATTGATGATGTCTCTCGATTGTGGGTCAAATGTTAAATGCCAGTTATTTGGAATTTTATCGTTGTAAATTCATTTTTGAATGAAAATAAACCGCACAATTTAATTAGCCGATTTGCGGAATTCGTGCATATTCAATGGCCCAAAAATGTCACGATGTTCATGTTGGGCATGTTTAATGGATTAAATGTTATTTAGTTGCATAAATTTTATCAAATGATTTATTGTGCGTTTTTGTTATTGATTTTCCCACGCATTCTAAATCATGAAATTCGGCCAAACACTCATTTGGCATTGTGGAATTTTAATTCGCAAATATTTTGTTTATTTAATCAAGTGTGCAAACCACTTCCAAGCTAACAAATCATTATTATTTTTTTGGGACATTGTTTTGTTCCAGCGTTGTGAATGCAATAACATATGCAAAATACCATCAAAACAATGATATTTGTTTCGGTTGTGTTGCGTGTATCTGTCGATCTGGCACTCTTTTGTCGGAATTTCAGATGCGCTACAATTTGCCTAGGGTAAATTATATTGAATAACTCCATTATCGTTGTGATGGAACAGTTTTCAAAATAACAATGCGCCTTTTGCGTCGAACTAATTTGATTCCTAGAGAGAATTTCAAAACGGGTTTGAAATGAACAATATATTTGACGTACGTCGCTCAATGAATGACTCCTTCATTCAATGCGATTCTGTTGACTCAACGGAGAATCGCAATTCTAAATCGAATCACAACAGTCTGAATTCAAAACAGTCAATCTTAATGTTTGCATTTTCGTCATTCAAACAATATTCATTGCGGCTGAAATGCCAAACATAATTAATAGTAAACGGTCGAAAAGAAAATAGACTTTTAATCGAAAATAAACAAATCTAATTAATTGGCAATGATTTCAGTGAAAAGTGCCTGAAAACATATTTTCATTGCAAACATTTGCCGAAGTTTTGGAATTGGAATCGTCAAGAGAGAGAAAATGGCAAATGAAATCGGCGATTAAATTTCCTTCCTACGCTTGTGTTGTCATTATTGTTATCATTTCGTTTCGGTATTGTGTATAAAATCTAATCTCGAATTGAATAGAAGTCACCGAATTGACTAGAGTAGAAGAGCATCCCTGAAGATGCGCGTTCACATCGATCCGTTCATGGGCCAACAAAAGACGGATCAAAGTTTATTTACTTTGGACGATGTAACATAATATAAAACGACGTCAAACATGTACCGGATATTATGAAATTTTTAGCCGACAGGTTTGTTTTCTTCAAGATCTTCATAGCGCAAACATCTTTATTTAGCTTGTATCTTCATATCGACCATCTCGTATCAAGACAGTATACATTTTGATTAAAGCGAAAAGTAATCACTCACGCTGAAAAAAGGTCTATCGCACGATTTACGGGACGATTTTATCCGCCAAATACAATTTGATCGTCGTTGTTGTTGCTATTGTCAACGGAAAAAATTGTTTTTTTTTTGAAGATTTTATTACCTAGCCGTCAATCGATAGGAGCGTCAATTGATTTTTTTTGTCGTCAATTGATCTGAATGTGATTTACGGATTTTTTTTGGCCATTTTCAATACCGTAATCGTTTAAACTTAATTTGATGGCCAATGTTACATAATTACAAGGGAGTTGATAACGTTGATGATACCCACGGTTGTGGGTTTGTATGTATACAAACCTGTACTCATTTCATCAGATGATAAGAACGCCACGGATCGGATGAAAATCGCTACGAATTTTCCTCGAAAACTTTTCACGGAAACGAAATTCGGTGGAAAAGGCTGAATCAATTTCGGAACATTTTGTGAAAATATCTGGTTGAGTGAATTAATGGTGTGGATTTTTTTTTTTCAGGGAATTCATATACAAAAAACTTTTCGTCGAATAAATGTGAAATGATACGGTTCACTTTCATTTTGGTATCGAAATGATACTCTTTCTCCCTAGCTCGTTATCAGTTGAAAAGCCGCCTAATTAGATTACGTACACGATAAATTAATAAACAAACGCTCAAGACAAGGAACTGACAGAAATACATTCAAATCGATTGAAATGCACGGGTCGTACCATCCGACATGAACAAGCAAATGGGAGAAGAGAAAAGTGGAAAACAGAAACCAGCATCAGATGCGTTGCTTTTTTCCGTGTTTTCCAACCAAATATTTATTTTTCATTTGCTCATTTTTTGCACCCATCGCTTAACAAACGTCTGACGGGAATAAAATATTAACAAAGTAAACAATATTAGCTGAACATGGCCATGGCTCTTGTGTGCCTTGCTCTTATCTCTCGCTATTTATTTCAAATCAAGTTTTTCTCTCTCTCTCTCTCCCTCTCTCATCTCGTAATCAGAGACAGTGCTGTTCTGTTTGCTGTAAATGTTGAGAGAGACAGAGAGAGAAAGTGATGGAAATGGGCGATGCGTGCGGAAATGTACACAACGGAATATGCGTTGCATTTAATTTGATGAGCTTTCGACAGAAAACACTTTGAACATCAATATTACTGTTGTTGTAATCTTTAGTTCGTCCTGTTCCGATTCCGTAGCGAATGTATTATAAATTATACGCGCAGATAAACAAGTTAGGCCATCAATGCGAACTGCGATGTGTTGTGTCCTTCCTCATTCTCCGCGTAAAAACAACGATAGCACTTGTTTGAAAAAGGCAACATTGCTTTGAAGTCGCTCTTACTCATTTCATTTAGGCGATGCTTTGGAAATGGCAACATTTTTGATGATGATGAAACAGAGTGATAAAAGCCAAATATGTTTCGAATAGATTCCAACACGGTTCCATTACGATATGAGATGATTTTGTTTTCTTTGGCTTCTTGCAAAATTTCAAATTTCATTCATTATTTTTTTGTTCCGTTTCGTGTAGGCTTCGACATTTCGTTAGCCTACCGCTTTTTATCGCTGGCGTTTTTTTTTTTGAAAGCAAGTGAGAAAGAGTGAGTTTGTGCACTGAATGGTTAAACAAATATTCGAAAATAATGAATACATATTGCCCATCATAAAGTTATGTGCGCGATCTATATCACGAATGAGAATGTTCAGCCCATGAATCTTCAGCCAGTGAATATGGCGCATCTCGTATGACATGAATTGATGCTACACACAAAGCGGTGTGTGTGTACTCAAGACGAAGAACGTGTATAAACAAAACGTGCCCAATAAATTTTCACTAGTTGATTGCAAGCCAAGATTCTTAGTATGACATTTGAGTTTTCAAAACATTATGTACACTTTTATTTCGTTCGTCGTACACATTTCTTCGTTTCTTTCATTCCATTCATGTCTGAAGTGGATATTCTGTTTACGAAGTTAATCCGTGTATCCATGAAAAGATTTTCTTTTCTTCTCTACACCGTTGTTGACTTGAGCATTTTCCAGTTACCAATTAAGGCAAAGCTTTTTTTTTATCACTCTCGCAGTTTTGATACAAACAGCGAGAAAAAATCTCACTATCGTGAGTTTTGAGCATCAATGATGCCGTATGAACGTAGCGACACACAACAGCGGATATTTCGTAGCAGTCAATTGAATATTACGAACTGTCAAACTTTCAATATCGTTAACGTTGTTTAAATGTCAAAACAAGAACCGCTGTAGAAGGGCGATAGGAATTTACATTATTATTGTTTTTAATAGAAAAACACTGACATTCAAGGAGCTATTTAAATACATTCGGTGGCGGAAAAAATGTCAGGATTTTCCAGGCTTGTTATATTTTACTCAATTTCACTACCATTTTGCTTGGATTGTTCCATTCAATTCGAAAGAAGTTGGAAGAAAAAACGGAAAAAGAGAGAAAAAAGCCGTAGCATAAAATACTTTGGAGTGTGGCTTTGCCTCGCATCTCAATCAAATCTTAGTGGTTCAAGTATTTACATATTCATTCGTATTCCATTGTACCGTTATGCTGCTGCTACTGCTGCCGACGTCAACTTACACTCTTATATTTTATCTCTGCTCTCGGTTTTTTCCCCAATCGGTTCGTTTTCAAAGCATTTTGAATTCTCAGGTGATTCACCTTTGTTTGTACAGATGCCGCGCAAAATTTAATAATATTAACAAGGAAATACTCGAAAGCGGAGCATGTGTGCAATGGAAAGACATGTCTCTGAGAAAAAGAACACGATGATGATGTCAAGGTTGTAAAGCAGATTGAATGCGCTGATGGAAATGATAAAACCACAAAAGCCCATTGTAATATGAAGACTCTTCGGTATGTCAGTGTGCCTCGCATTCGTCGAATGCATATTGAATCGGGTTGTCAACAAATGCTGGTACAAACACACACACCCAACCATATAATCCAATTAAGTTTTTCATCATTTATCGTTTTCGCTTGTGCACTTGTTTGTTCATGTGTTCACGTATTTTAACAAAGTACTTGAATTCCATCACTTTTTTCCAATTGAATTTAATTTCGCTCATGCGTAGGAAGATCATTTTTAAATGATGACACACGTTCAATATGAAAATGAGGTAAAATGCTTCGAAATTGTTCCGATGAGACTTTTGGAAATGATTTGGAAAACTTTGAAAAACGAACGGAGCAGCACGTGTTCGTTCACATTTCCGCCTAGAAATCGAACAGATACTCGCTGGTTTCAATTAT